CTTCTGCTGCTGAAGCTTCACCTGTGATACCAGAGGAACAGGTGCTTTTTTTTTTAAAAACTGGTAAAAGACGGTAAAGATCCCCAAAAAGTTTCCTATAGTAAAATGCTGTACCTGCAGAGCTTTGATCTTGCTGTGGACGTTTTCCTGCGATAAGACCCTGGCTGGCTCAGCGTCTGTCAGGACGTCATCAGCCAGGAAGATGCTGTCATGGGACAAGGCCCGAAATCCCATGATGCCCTCAGAGAATCTGTGGCAGCAAGAGGGGAAGAACAGAAGAAGAACAAAGGCATAGAGTCAGGACAGGTATGTAGCTGAGAAGCAGAAATTGACACCATCTTGTAGACACTCACGCCAAATCTTCATCAGACCCGAGTCCCTTTCCTGCAGTGATGTCGCTGGAGGACTGGCTGAGTTTGGCCTCGGCCTCCCCCCCTCCTCTCTTACTTTTCCCGAACAGACGAGTTTTCAGAGACTTGAGTTTGGACTTTTTACGTCCTGATTGAGATGAAGACAGATCCAGGTCACACATGCAGAACTCACAAGGTATTCTCCTCTCCACACCTTTTATAGTCTCTTTTTTAATTGCTACATCAGATGCATGTCATTGAGTATAAATGGTCCTCGGATTGTGATAGTCATGTGTCCTTTATGTGGTTAGCTATTCTTTTTCAAAGACTTGCTTTCTTCACACCATAAGAATCTGAATCCACTCTATGTCCAAGTCCGTTTGCAAATACAAGGAATGTGCTTTGATTAATTAGTGCACAACATAACCATAGTTATAATTTTTTTTAAAGTAAAAAATTATATAATAAATAAGAATTATTTAAGTATTGCAAAAATCAAGTAACTAATAATACATATAGAGGAGACGAGAAATATATTAAGAGTATGAAAATATACTGTAAAAATGTGTACAATATATCTGAATTCATTTGAAAAAGCTGTGCAACATTTTATAAGTGGTATTTTTGTGCAGAAATGTGCGAAATTCTCCAAGGCAATTGCAAAGGAATGAATAGAAGAACATACAGAGAAATATAAATACATATAAAGATATGCAATAATGTAACACATCCCACTCTTTTGTAAAAATGCACAACAGATTATCTTACCTGGAATATCCTCAGTGCTTTCTTCTGTTTCTCCAGAGAAATACTCCATCTGTCTGATCACTGAAATCAGAGACGACAGGAATAAAGACTCGGATAATGGGAAGAAACCAGGACAACAAAAACCTCAGGCTAACACTTTCTAGAAGCCGTTGTCACATGCTGGAGGGCAGGTCGTGGTGTGAATACTCCAGTGTTCCCTGGCTCTTAATGCACTCGTGTGACAGCCTGAAGGAGAGAGTCTGGACTCGCGGTTCAAAGGTTTATTGGTATTATCAGGAACCTTTACTGTAGCTAGGTGGGGCGTGCTGAGCAGCCCTTATAGTCTGCAATAAGTCATAAAAGAAGCTGTAGGTTAAAGAGCAAGTATAGGATTTGAATTACAATAGTACATACATATCACTCATAAAGCAATGCAGCCTGGATAATGTTTCGTAAACAAAGCAAACACTGCAATCTCTCACTCAGACAGCGTCACTTATGCAAAACTATGACTGACAAACATACATATTGGGTTTATGTGTTACTCAGTGCAAGGTGCTTGTTTTTTCTTCGTTCCACAGGCTTTATTTCGCACCCTGCTCTGCCACTAGTGTGCCTTTTGAGTCCCACTGTTCTCTGTGTCGCCGAGGAACTGCTAACAGAGTGATCCTGTACAGCATGTTCGCTTGATAAGACAAGATGTGGCAGGTTATGGGTAAACATGCAAAGTCCACACTTCCTCTCTCATATCGCCTGCTCTCACAATACAAGCACGCCCTATTGAAAGGGATGTAAGTGTATGAATAACCTAGCACAAAAAAAGTTGCATGTGACTTACATAACCTCTTGTCCTATAAATACAACCTGTGTGTGTTTTTGATCATGAATCATATACCTCAGACTTTTATCAAGATACAGCCCTAACAGAAAACAACGGATAATCCAGTGGATTATTGACATTGCACAGAGATCCTTGTGAGATTTCACAGCACCATAATCCACAGCTTAATCATAAACGCCCCATGCCAGGTACTCACATTCACAAGGGAAAGCACTTCTCTATTCAAGGGTAAAACACACATTCCCACATCATTAAGTTAAAGGAAAAATAACTTACCCAGCGTCTTACAGCAGCACCTCTGCTTCTCTTCCTCCTCTCTGGGCAGAGTTGTCCTGTCGTCTTTGTCCCTGTCCTAATGTTTAAACCTCAGGCTGGAGTCGTCCCCCATCTGCAGACGGAGGGAGATGCGGAGGGAAGGGAGCGAGGGAAGGAGAAAGGACAAGCAGAAAAGAAAGGCAGAGAGAGAGAAGGACACTCCATGACAGGGTAAGCAAATGCACAAAGAGAAAAGAGGACAGAAGAGAATAAGAGAGGCCGAGCGAGAGGGGGAGAGAGAGGGATACTCTATTACATTAGTGGCACACTGTGGCCCTCTGCGCTAAGCTCCTTATAAAACGCTAACCTGATTTTAGGCCCAGAAATGAGAGTAGAGGGAAAAAAATAATAAAGCTCCAGTAGGAAAGAGGACAGGCATACAGGAATTACGGCTCAGAGGACTGTTTACATATTACACCGGGCTGCTTACCCCCCCGGGCCACCACAGAGACGAGCCTGTGTTTGTGTGTGTGTGTGTGTGTGTGTGTGTGAATGTGTGTCAAAATAGTTAAACATTCAAATAAATACCAACCAGGAATGAGCCATCTCTTAACCCTGGAGAGATGCAGAGTTTTCATTCAAACACACCAAACATGAAATAATATGTTGTGATATTGTACATAGATACTGTATGTGTGTTTTTATTATGGATGTCAACACACAATAGGACATTTGCAAATGCATTATATTGATGTGTGTTGCATGTTAATAATAATACATTTATTATATCAAGTGCTTTTACAGATGCTCAAAAACACTTAACAGAGATTTTAATTAATTAATTAAATAAAAGTCAAATAAAAATCAAGCTAATAAAACTACATGTAACACGGGAACACACAATAAAAGCCAGTCCATACAGGTGAATACTAGTCAGTGATTTGAAGGAGGGGGAGGTCGGTGCAGATGTTTCCATTATGTATTTTTATTGCTACCTATTTATTGATTTATATTGTCCTACATGTGCTCTGTTCAAAATACAAATCTCTTTTATTATTTTAGATACAGTATAAGGACTTCAGATCAAAATGAGCTATTAGCTATAATCTGGCATGTATCAGAGATGTATGTATTTGTATGCATGGTCCTTGTTCAACAAAAAAAAAATGGCATGATAATAATTTAAAAAAGAAACATACCTTTATGGATGCCCTAAATCCAAAAAGCATAATACTTGAAGGAAAAATGATACTTAAAAATGTGTCTTCACTGTTAAATCAGAAAATGCCGAAAATAACCTTTAAAAGAAATGTCCCTTTCTTTAAAAGAGACCAAGATATCTCGCACACACACCGTTTCCTAACATTACATTGATCCCAGTGTTGCTGCAGTGAATGTGCACATTCCCACAGGAGGGTTTCAGAGATGGCAGCACTATGTAGACCACTGGGCTACAACCAGCGAAAAGGGGGGGGGGGGGGTGCCACAGGAAGAGGAGACCACATTGTGTCTGTGTGTGAGCAGCTCCTGATGAGGCTCCTCATCCCACAAATCCTTATCTCTTCCTCTCAAACATAAACCCAGCCGCTGACATCTGGATTACATGCAACCAACCACATGTTAACACACCGACCTGACAAACAGTCTGGGGTGGGATTTATTTGTGGATGTATTGTCTGTAATCTGCACATAAAGGACAATCTGTATGCAAGTGTATTTTATTTGAACTGATAACAGCTGATGTGGTGACATATGTGAAATCTGTCTGCACATTTACAGCAGAAACAGTTTCTTTTGTCCTCTTCTCTCTTATAAAGTAATACAAGTAGAGACATCCACAGTCATCTGTGCTTCCCTGACGGATTATAAAGCGTCCCCTCAGAGCCCAGATGAGGACCGGGCATGCAAACCCAGATTAAGGCCGATAGATAATCCGATCACGGCGCTGTTTGAACTCTTGTGTGTTTCCATTCATCCAAACAAACAGTTTCCCATGAATATTTAATGAGGGTGTTTTTTTCTCCATAATTGCTTTTTTATGGGGGAAATATTATGTCATTAAAATGTCATTAACTCAACATTAATCCTACAGCAACACTGAACAAGTGACTTACACACAAACAAAGCTGGACTAATGTTTTAATAATTATGATTTTTACTATAACAGTTAACTACATGTCAGTTGGCTTTTCATTCAACTGATTAATACAGGACTTTATCAGTTAAATGGTGGTTTATAGACTAAGTAAACCGCTGACAATTGCCAACCAACCCCTGAAAGTTTTTACAATGTGCAGCATTGGAGAACACCAATAATGTTTTTATATTAGGCTTAGCTACCTGATACATTTGCTGCATGAAGGATTTGCATATTTCTAGCAGTTTGAAACAATGGTTAATGATATGATGTTATTTCAATGACTCAGTGGTCATGTTCATTCTTGACCTAGTAAATAGTTCACAAACATGGAAGAGAAGTCCAATAGTAGTCTGAATAATGCAACCTTTCTATGACATCTGAGCCAACTCAAAATCTCCCATGCACCATTATTTTAAAAGACGTATTGCAATACAAATAATATCAGAATAAATCATTAATGTCTTTAGATTTTATTATTTAGATGTGTAGGCCTACTGATATATGCTGTGTTGTGTGTTACTTGTGTATTTGAACTGCTGCAGCTTAATCAGGTTTGTGGTAATCCAGATACTTTTTTTTATATGTATGAATATATTTTAAATGTGATATACTTTAAATACAGTTACTTTAAAGCTTGATCATGATTAAAATAATAAAACAAAGACCATTTTAAATAATTATAAAAGCAGTTTTAATTGACCTTTTCCACCAGATGGCAGTATGACATTCTTAAAAAACATTTGGTAATAGAAGAATTAAAAGTTTTTTAAAAAATGTAAAGAAAATAACCAGAAAAAAACCCTTTAAAGAAAATAATATGTTAACAGGAAAACAAAGTATTTGGCAACATTTGACAGCACAAGTCTGTGATAATCATACATGATCGTACAGAATTTACGACATGTCAGTGTGACAAAAGCATTTTGTAAAACCTGATAAAAATGGCTCTATAAGGCCGATCACATCACAAGTATTTTAAGGCAACTCCAAACCCACAGCAGATGTGTCTTTTGGGCAGGTGAGTAAATTAAGATAGAAAAACAGTTTTTAAGATGTTTGAATCTCATAGTGTTTTTGTGTGTTTGGTGTGAAAAATATCTACGCTGGTCTCGTGGCACTGCCGGAGGTCGTAGTCACAATAACCGATAGAGAATCGACCCTGGAGGATAACAAAGATTCACCACAAGTCAGCGATGTGATTCTGACAATGGCATTTAAAGAAAAGGATTCATATAAACTGTAATGACGTCTCACCTTAGGTCTTTTGAAGTAATCCAACCCTCTGCCTATCTTGATGATCCAACCATTGTCAAACCTAAAAAACCCAAATATGTTTTTGTTTACAACCAGAGAATAAAGCAGCAATAATAGAGAGTAGGGCGCTTACGTGAAAATAAATCCTAAACATATTGTTTTTTAGATATTGCAAATTGAAAACTATTCTTAGCTTATAATGTGTTTTTTTAATATGTAAAATCCTTGAAATGCACCTGATCTCCCTGTCGTGTATGGTGGAGGAGTACTGCAGATCCAGAGTCACTCCCTGAGCGCTCAGACTCTCTTTGATCTCAGAGAGAGCGCCGCGCTGCTGCCCGCTATCCGCCTGCTGGACGGGACAAAATGGTATTAAAACAACAGCACAAAGGGACCCAGACACCTATATAAACTGTTTTTACTGACTGTCAATGTGGGACGAGCACAGGTGTTGCTGAAAACATTCATCATAGACATAAATCACGACTTATCACAAATCAAAACGGTAAGAGGAATTTGTCTGGCATTCATTTATTTATTTAGACCTCTGCTACTGTGCCAAGTCATATGATTATGTTGGAAAAGGGCCAATGACTGCCATTCATTTACTACACTTCGTGCAACCATATTTGTTTCAGAACCAACCTCGTCCTGGGAGGTGAGCAGATGGACCTTCTTCACCTTGCAGGGCGCTTTGAGCAGCATCTCACAGAACCGCAGGAAGTTGTACAGCTGAAAGGGAGAGGAGGGGGAAGCAGTTTCACTTTGAGATTAAACTGCAGTGTTAATCAATTCAATATGAAGATACACAATGATTTTTAAAATGTACAAAATATATAATTCTTTGAAAATTCAAAATGTAATTAACTTCAGGAACAGTTTAATTATTTTGTGTGTTGTGGGATGTATGTTAATAATACTAAATACTGGTTGAGAATTTGCATAAACCACTTTCTGTGTGAAATTATAACAATACGATTGCATAACAAGATGATAAATTATCCTATTGAATAATTGCTCATCCCTATTTGTAACCCTATTAACACATCCTAAGCCCTAACCAACCCTAAGGCCCTTATTATATAATATTATTTTGGCACTGAGTATTTACATAAACAAAGTTAATCTTATTAATGCCATACAGTCAGTATGTCGTTTTTTGGGCTGTAGTGCAGATGCTTTCCTTAAAGTGGTTATTAATCCAACACTGTATAAATTAAATGACTTAAAGATCATGTGTGGAATGAAAAATCAGAAGTTGCAGCCCTTGAATAAACGCAAATAAACAAAGGCAAATCCAGCTTGACGAAAATAAAGTAACGTGAGATCTCACTTGGTGTATGTGCCGTATGTAAGGGTCTTCCACCCAGACCTCGGTGAGGAAGCTGCTCATGTAGGGCTTGAACAGAGACTCGTAGCTGTGACCCGTCGCGTCCTCTGAGATCCTGATCTGCTCGTGGTATTTCCCATCTGACAGGAGAGGAGACAGGAGAATATAGGAAGTTAGAGATGGCACAAATAACCCAATGCTATTTACCGCTCAAATATGAATGCATTTTTGTTAAATGCAATTATCAAAAAAACAAGGTGGTCAATAGACTTTACAACAGGTTCATTTGTGTTTCAGTGGTTTTGTTTCCTACCTTCTTTCAGCTGGTTCACATGAGATTTGATCTGCTCTGCTCGGTGCATGTAGCCCTTTATCTTCTCCCTGTAGTGACCTCGCTTTGAGTCATCTTTCACAGAGGCTGTCAGGGGAGAGAAAACAAGAATAAATTATGATTTCTGTCTTTTCCATGCTACATTACCTCTACTGTACTCATTATTAAGATATTAAGACAATGGGCCCCTGGGTTAAATACGCAAAAGGCCCCAACACTACATATGAGAAGGACACAAAGACGTTATAGTTTGTTTGCCTCTTTTTGTTGTTCCTTTTGTCTTTTTCTTTTGTATATTAAGTCACTTATAGTTGTCTTGTGTCATTTTGTAGTCTTTTTGAGTCACTTTGTGGTTGTTTTGAGTCTCTATGTAGTCCACTTGTGTCTCTTTGGGGTCGTCTGTTCCACTGTGATAATATATATTCACTTTGTAGTAGTTTTGTGTCTCATTGGGGTCATTCAGCCCCTCTTGGTTGTTGATTCGGTGTATTTGTAGTCATTTTTTGCCTATTTGTTATAATTTTGACTTGATAACAGGCCTGTATAGTATCTCATTTTTTTATTCCAGCTTTGTTGTCCTTTACTGTCTTAATAATTCCTGTATACGTTTATCAAGAGATGCCAAATAAAAGTCAAAATTATTGTATAAGTACACAAACTGGACCAATACATATGATTCTGATTTAGTTTGTTGGTCATTTTGAGTCTCTTCCTGGTTGGTAGCTGTCTCTTGTCCCCCTAACACACGGGGCTCATAAACCTGTATGACCGTGCTGTAGTCAATACTTTCCTTTAAATTGTATTAAATGTTATGAATAATAATAATAAAGTACCTTTCAGCACGTCCATGAGCAGCTGGATGCCCTCCTGGTAGCAGACCAGAGACTCTTGGAAGCGGCCACTGTGGTCCAGCTCCACGGCTCGCTTCAGCACGGAGATGGCGGAGCTCTCCATCCCTGACACGTGATTCTGGCTCATTATTCTTTTTATCCTTCGTGTTTTCCACAGTTACTAGAAAACTAAAAGTGGATTCATGCTTTTAAAATGTCAGAAAAGTCTCCAAAGGAAGCAACTTGAGAGCTACACAGGTGCGCCACAAAAATAGTTCCCCGGAGAAACATCATGGTGGAATAATGGTCCATAATAATGGTGCAGCTTTATTAAAATACTGCAATTAAATACGACTAAGCAACTGTATTTTAAATTGATCTTGTAAAATGTAAATAGTTTATCCTTGTAATTGTATGTGAAGTACAATTAAAACGTTCCTAAGACTATCTAGGGATTGTATCTTCCAATATTCATTGAAATACATATAGAGGAATATCTTACTTTGTTATTTTATTTTAAGTTATGTCGTTGTTATCCTGTTTTTTGCTTTTCTTATATATTTGCCCACATGTATCCTGTTTAATTTGACAATTCATTATTAATGTATTGTTAAATGGTTTGAATTTATCACAAAAAATATTTCTATTACTGTTATAATCTGAAAATGACTTTAAACCAAAAAGGGGATTTTAAGGATATCAAATGAAAACTGTTTTAGTTATATAATTATAGTAATACAAATAACTGTAGGAACCTTGATTGGCGAACATTCGCTTCGTCGGCGTAGTTTCAATGTAACTCCTCGAAGCTTCCGGTGTAGACATCCATGGAGGACATAACTGTCATGACAACAACGTGACTTACCGTTTGCGGTTCTTCTTCAGCTCTTGAATCAATGTCGTCGGTTTGAATTCAGTGAATATAATGTGAAATTAGTTACGTTTTTATCCGTCGCGTTCATTATCGTTTGGTCTACTCAGCGTTTAGCAGGGCTGCACGGTAACGTTAACCTTGGCGTGCACCACAGTAGTTTAACTAACTAGTGGCTGTCAACTTAACCGTCACTAACTTCACTAAGGTTACCGAATTAAAGATGTCGGGGGTCTGTCGTGGTTTGAGCTCAGTGAAGGTAAGAAGAACATCTTGCAGTATTTCTCATGTTTCAAACTGATCTTACCTTAATGCTTTCTTTACTTTAAAATCAGGACCTCTCAATGTTGATACTGTCAGGTTGTGTTCTATTTAAATGTTCTTTCTCTTGATATATAGTAAATGTGGTCAAAAATCCAGAGTTTCACAATATATATAAGTTTTGTTCAATATATTTTTCAACTCTAGTAGCCAAATCAGAATTCCTTTATTCGTCCTATTCGTCCCACAGAGGGGACATTTACATTGTTTCAGCAAAATGAGATATAAGATTTAGATAAAAGATAGAGACAAACAATTATAATAAAGCACTATTACAAAAGGGCATTCATATAATATTTTAAATACTTATTAAAAGTTACAGTACACATTTGGGTAGAAAAGGAGCAGCAGCAGTATTTATAAAATACATTAAATGTAACATGTGGTAGAAGCTAAATTAATATAATTTATAAATGTATATAGCAGCTACTTATCCAAACAGTAAGCACATTGGTTGACAAATTGATATAGTCTCATCACTCTATATGTGTGCTCCTATATCAGGAAAGAAATGTGCCTTTTATCCTCAGCCACATTATTACATTTGCTTTCATTTTGTGTTTGTTTACAGCTCCTGACAGAAGCTACACTTTTGCCGCGTTGCCCATTATTTGTACCGGCACGCAGCAAATTCACTAAAGCAAGAGTCCCCAAACAGGTAAGAATCAGATCAAACACCAGAGTTTTGCAGAATGATTTTTAATACATTGCTTATTTGTTTAGGAATGTGTACCATTTATGTATAATCTCAACTACTACTAATATCACCCTAACATTTGGCCCTGTCTTGCAGAGAGGCTTTGTTTCAATTCATTTTAATACCTGACTCATTTTGGTTAATATTTGTAAATTACGTAAGGTAGAATTAAGTGCCTAATATTACATTTATACCTCCGGGATCCCCTGACAGATTCACCCAGATATTAAATATATCATGATGCCTTAATCTTCATAATGAATACTCATTTGGGTTTTTCCTTCACAGATTTTTGAAGAGAGATCAAAAGAGCATGATCGATATGGAGGAGATCCAGAACAACCTCACAAACTGCACATCGTGACACGAGTCAAGAGTACCATGAGACGACCGTACTGGGAGAAAGACCTCGTGAAATACCTGGGGCTCGAAAAGGTAAAGCCTTTGTTTTTATCTGTTAAAAAAAAATGAGGGAAATGTTTTGTAGAATACAAGAGATTTTGGAATTCTTATTAAAACAATAAATCAGCACCTCTATAGGAATCAAACAGTGTCTGCTTGAACCTTGGAGAGCAGTAAAGATCCTTTGTTATGATTTATTGCACTACCTCTGTTCTCTCTGTCTCTCTTTTTAGGCTCATACACCTGTCATTCACAAAAACACACCTGCAGTCAACAACCAACTGAAATTTGTCAAACATCTTGTGAGGTAAGAGAAATATAATATATCCGTCTAAAACTCAAGGCATGGCTTATCATTGAAGCTTACAGCAAAATAAAATGTGATGACATAAGACAAGTAGATTCATATTCAAGGTTTGTACAGTCGTGAATGTTTGAAAATTATAAATGTTAACTATTCATTTGAATGGTTAGGATTTTATACTTGAAGTTGGATATACTGTTTGAAAAATGCTTGATTCTCGACTTAATGGTATTTCATCCACAATCACTCATGTAAACTAAAAACACTTTCTATATTTGTAATGGAACAATCGGGGTCTTTGTGGAGAGGTTAAGATAGAGCTTAAATATTCAACATAAATGAACACTCAATGTTGCTGCTAATTTTTCAACTTAATTTCCAATCACATTGTCACAATTTACATGTAACGATGAAATGACAGTCTCTGCATTTTACCATAAAAAGTGAATTTGAAGCAATAAGAACCATTTTGAATCAGTTATTAAAGCTATTTGTCTGGATCTTAAGACCCTGTTTCTTGACCCCCTCCCCTCTCCTTCAGGATCGAGCCTCTGAAGACGCCCTACGGTCTGCCAACTGAGCAGGACATGGGAGACACTTACATCAACACCAAAGGAGAGCTGATCATCCACCGCCTCCTCCAGCCTGCAGACCCCAAAGCTCTCAAATCCTAGCTCCGCTTCCACATCATGTTCATTCAAAGTTCAATTGTTCCAGAATATCATGAAATATATTGTGCTCTATAGCTTCCTGTTCTGGTTTCACCACAATGAGCAAAAGGAATATGGTTTAAACGGTTTTTGTATTTACTCAAATGTCTATCTAAATATTGCAAGTATGCAACAGATGATTGTTAAAATTCTAAAGTAAACATGACTTGTTAAAACACATCAATTAAAAGCCTTTTGAAATGAAATGCATGTTTCCTTTTTGCTTATATCTGGCAGAGAAAAGTTATTAGTTAAGACCTCGTTTCAGCTCAAGGGTCCTCTCACAGGCGTTTACAATATCAAGACGTCTTTACAGGACTGTAGCGTTGTTAAATAATTCAATCAGTGAGAAGCTCCTTGATTTTCTTTGGAAGGTAGAAAAGACACCAATGTTTTTAAGGTCTAGTATGTCATTGGGACAGTTTGTTGGTATCTGAAGGCTGTTTTTGATGCCTCACTGTCCTGTTGCTCGTGTTAAGACCGATCTATTTACGTACATTTATATTCTTATTGGTAAATTCAGTTTATTGACATGTAATTCTCAGTTTACCCAAACCAACTCTGAGCTGAGCTGACCAGCCAGCGTAATTGAAGACACCTGAATCACACTAAAGGGTTATACTCCTTGCATTAATCTTTTCCAGGGAAGAATAGTCAAACGAGGTACATTGCAATGCATTATGGGAATTGTTTTAGTAGGGTTTTTACCCATAATACTAACTTAGTGTGCTACAATTTGCTTTATCAGTTTCTCACACGTACAATAACAAAATTCCAGATGCAGACATTTTTAAATCATTTTTAATTCCGCATTCATTCTGCATTAGTCAAGTCGAACTCCTGCTACAAGAAAATGTGTACAAATGTTTTCTGATGCTTTTAATTATCTAGGTAATTCTGCATCATGTTTTCCATTCTAACGTCAGACTCACAGAGGAACAAGGAAACACAGGAGAGAATCAGAACGCCTGCAATTCATGAAGCTTCAAGGTTTCAGTCACTGAGAAAATCAACACCAACACGTGGGAGATATTGGATCAATGGTTGGTTCAGTGAAGCTTTCTGTATCAGCTGGAAGTTTCCATGTTTGTCATTTTGATATTATTCAAACATGGAAGGCAATTCGTTAAAAAAAGCTGAAACAAAGGATTTTATGAAAACAAAAAGACAGGATAGAAGTAAAAATATGCAAAACCTGAATAAAAGGTAAAGTCACGGAAAGGACAGGAAAAGTGAAAGCAGAATATTTATTAAGAGAGAAACAGGATGATAGTCGGAGCTTTTCAGTTATCAGAATCTGAGTCTGAGTCGTAGGTTCGCCCTCGGATGGTTTTCTTGTCCACCTTTGTGAACTTAGTGCCCGACCTCACTGGTCCTGTAGGAGGCTCCATCAGGTTACCACTACAACAGGAGAAAGGGATGAAGTTAAGAGCAGAACGTGTGTGTTTTTATCCACTCATAACTTTGATTCTGTAGCTATAATGCATGCTAGGGGAAGGTGGTATCTCACCTGTAGTTGATCACATCCGCACAGCCGAGTCTCCATTCCAGCATCTCTGTGGAAAACTCGTCAGTGTTTCCCAGGTCGGTGAATCCCACCACATAGTCCTTTGTTTTTCCGTCAATAAGCAGGCACATCGTGGGAATAACTTTGATCCGCAGCCTGTCTGTCAGAAACGGGGCCTTATCCACGTTCAGTGTGATGAATTTGGTCTCAACGTGCTTCTTTGCCAAGATGGTCAAGTGTTTGTCGAGGATCTTACACCTACATGTAGGGGACAGAAGAGTTTAACAGCCGGATGACAACGCACAAAGTTACTGACATTTAAAACAAAGAGGAGACCTAACATTAAAGAAAAGTTATAGCTGAACCAATTGAATTATCAAAATCAAACTAGAAAAACATATTCAAAATTGTACACCTGTCACTTCATTGATGTACATATACACCAGCGATGGACTGACCTGAAGGTGGAGCCTTTGTAGAAGTGGCAGACGACGTTCTTGCTGTCTTTGACCTCGCCGAAAAAGTCTTTCTCACTGGAGATCTCTCTGTACTCTCCGTGGCCTTTATTCAACCACTCCTTAAAAACAAGAATACTAGGGTGAGGAGCAGAACAATGAAATATAATGACTGGCTTTCGCATTCAAGCTTTTCCCCCCGATATAAGATCCATATATAATCCTGCTGTTTAGACCAACTCCAAAACAACAGTTAGTTTAACAAAAAAAAACAATGCTTCCTAAGGTGGTCTTTATGAAAAACTCAAATACTTTTCCAAATCTTTAAAATAAAGAAGGGGAGATTCTGATGCTTGAAGGGCTCTGAATAAAACTGAAGTCTCTGTGAAGAAACATGTTTCACTGATTTCTGATTATCCAACAATGTCTTTCTCACAAGTCCACACAACTGCAGAAATCCTGTGACTACTTGAATAGGTTTCATATTCCACAACCACCGTCACCCTGACATTTGGATTTCTCAAGGCTAATTTGGAAACATTTGGCATGATATATATACACACAACATAGGTTTAGTTTGTCTGCCATTAAGAAAAACATACCTGCTTCTGTTTCTGGGCTTTCTTAAGCGCCTCTAACCGCCTCTCCTTCAGCCTCTCCAAATCATCTTCATCAATTTCATTCAGTTTGCTAATCTGTGCATCCAACTTCTCCTCCACCAACATGGCGGTCTGCTCCAGAACCTTTGACAGGATGTCCATCGATTGGTGGGCCATGGTTGCTCTGTGTGGATCTCTCTCTGAATGTAGGGAGGGAAAAGAACAGGTAGTGTAAGCCGAGACAGGAGGTCAGAAACAAATAAACAATAGGAAACCAGATTACATTTCTCCTGTCCATACCGGCCTACGACGTGCCACAATGATACAAAAGAAGCAAACTATACTATACTCTGCTTAGTGTTGTTAAATCTTTACGGTTGTTTTCGGGGCTGACTAAACAAAAAGTGAACATAGGAACCATCATGTAGTTGAAGTTTTTAGCAGGGTACTGATTCAGCTAGGTGTATCTAATAAACTGTAATAAATGCCTGCTTGTCAAATACCCTAACATGAGCAACGCAGCATGTAATGTAACTTTACTGTCCAGTCATTGAGGAGAAACAATACAACCTAAAGTCACAGTGTTTTATGTATAGTTTAGTTTGATTCCTTTCAATGCAAACGATTCAAATACGTAAATAAAATATATGTGCCAACAATGCTTAAACAGATGAAGGCTTTATGAAGGCACTCCTGGGCTCTGTGAAATGCCTTCATGACTTAAAGCATTCATCTGTTTGCATTTCACATATTTATTGTGACTATAAACAGTATTTTTTTTTCTTTTACTATATATTCAGTTTTTAGCTCATCTTAGTCTAACTTGAGATTGTAATCGTCATAATTACACTGTAGCTACTGTGCATATGACAATAAAACCTTTGAATCTTTACACACGTTATAACAAATATAAAATATGTAAGCAACAATGGCAAATGTAATCCAGGTAACATATCCGACCTTTCCAGACTCAAATAAACCCTTAAGAAAGTTGTTGACATTTTATCAAACAACGGCAGCAGATGCCGACAGAACGTTGCTTCACGTTAAATGTTGCTACCGACATAGACAGTGGTCCATTGCACCATGGATGTATAAAGAGAAAATCGCATTGAACCTTAAGCTTGAGTATATAAGAAGTGAAGCATTGAGGCTCATTTCCTTGACATCCAGAGAATTCAAACAGCTGTTATTATGGTCGCCACTTAAATACCTGCGGGTCTTTTTAACCGAATATAAGAGACTGTTCGACCCTTTGTGACAACTGGGCACACCTTCTTTTCGTCGCTTGGTTATTCCCAATAGACCTACGTGAGCTTCATTACAAACTTGGTACAGTTTGTCCATTTCTGCGACATTTTTTTTGTTTTAGCTTACTGTGCAGATACTTATAACACGTCTGTCAATCGATGAATGAAGCTAACAAGTGGATATTTTCTGCCAGACATTAACAAAAAACACAGACAAATGCGTGTGTTAGCATGCTAAGCTAGCTACCGTTAGCCATGAGTTTCATAGATGTACACACTCACAGGGATATCAGAAAACACGTCAAACGGGTGTAAGATAAAATAAGTCAATTATGTGTTGTGTTAATAAAAGTGTGCTAATTCATAACCTTAATGCTGTTAAATGATCCGTTACCTGATCAGAGCTGATACTTCAGTTGCGCGAAATGCGAACGGTTGCTGAGGATGTGACGTTACAACATATCCGGTTGACGTTATTCTACATCCGGGCATTTCATAACATAAAATAACACTTTTTTAATGAAGCTATGTATTTGTATTATATTTGCAATTATCTATAGTTTAAACATGCTTTTACGCTTATTTATTGTAACTCCTAATTTTAAAATAAATTATCAACAAAGTGACATTTTGTTGATAGTTGTTCTAAGACGCAAAATTATGGAAAAATACTATTATATATTGGCCACCATAACCATACAAAAATAAAATCTTACAAACATGCAAAACATAATGTTGATAAGAAGGTGATTGTTAAGGGACATTCTTGACCGTTAAATGTGTTTATTGGCTCTAACAAACAATTCTGCATGTTTTCAAATTAGTGGATTTCATGCCTGCAAGAAGAGGATAGCCTTGTTGTTCAAGACTAGCCATTTGTTCATATTTTTAATTTGTAAAATCACCACTTTCAAATAATATTTTAAGAACCGACATAGTCATGGTTGGAAACCATCCTAAAATGCAGGATATATATAATCAATGACAAAGACACATCAATGAATACAGAGTTTACAGTTTATTACCAAGATTTTAGAAAACTTACAAACAATTTCACAGCTTCAGGTCTTCAGGCACAAGCCAGTTTAGAGAAGACAAGACTGGCCAGTTTTAACTCCTGGCCATTCCTTCCAGAAAGATATGACAGGTGAAGAGAAGCAAACATCTGGAAAGTGAGCGGAGACTTACACATTCTGAATTACATTCATTTCAACGAGTTGAAAACATAAAAGATTGATTTGGTTTGCATATTGGGGATACTGCTTTGAGAAACCTTTCCAACCACACGTACATAATGTCCTGCATGGTGAGATCACAAGCTAGCCAGCCAGCCGCATCTGCTGAGTACTTCTAATCACCAATCATAACGTTAAATCACAGAAATACAATGATGTAGCCACAAGCCATACACATGTCTCCATTGAATGAAGTACACAAGTACACACATTGAGTTAAAAATCAGCTCACCTGGTCAAATCCAGCATTATCTCAATATTCAGATTTGTGACTAGGCTGGAACACTAGAAAAGATTTTCTGCAGATACAAAGGCTGTATGAAACTTTACATTATCTTGAAGAAAAACAACAACTGCGTAGGCTACTTATTGATCGCCATAACCCCTGTCATCATCCGCGGAGTCAGAGTGCTTCTGAGAATCAACAGTTAACCTCACAGGAAGTGCTTTGACCAGCTTCCATGTTGGAACACTTACAAACAATTAAAGATTGAGGAGATTTTACAATTTAGAGACAGTTACTAAGAATTCACTACATGTAAACAATACAAGAGGTAAATCCTCCACGTACATCTTTTTCTTTAAACAAGTGTCTTTGAAAACATTATTTACATACTATAATAACAAGGTTTGGCACTTTTTTTTGCAAGAGAAGAGGAATAAAGATACTACTGTATGCAGCAGACTATGTTTTGTTGGCTTTTTTTGAGACAGCAGTAGTAGATACATCACAGGTTAGTCCAAGTAGCTCGGAGCACCAAGGAAATGTTTTGTCCTTTATTCATAAGTCCTAAGGAGTGCTACAACCCTAACCGATTCTGAAATCTCTAAAAGGTGCTTTGTGTTTTAACATGATGATTATGTTGTCATTTTAAACCTTATTTAACTGCAAAAGAAACATAGAAATGTGCCTGTGACTTACATTATTCAAACCTTCAGATCACATAAGTGCAGATGGAAATCAGGAGGGACATTTTTAAATCTTATAAGAGCTGTTTTTTTAATAAGAAACAGTTAAAACTCCGCCTGCAAAAATCAGTATATAAAACTTTATATATTTAGAAAAGAACTCCATATGGAAAATGATGGATTTTCAAAAAAGCGCTACGATTATCACTGTTCTGAGTGAGTAGTTTTCCTGCTTTTAAGTTTGAATTCCTTTAAAAAAAGTACCGAAATCACTTAACTGTACACACTCTTGTCTAATACTGTTATGGCTCCTGTAACACTTTCACATGTCGAGTGTGTGTAGTCGTTAAATTGTGTCTTACTCTCGCCACTGAGAACAGGGTGTTGAGGAGGAAAAGCATCATTTAGACGTCATCATTTGTATTGCAGATGTCCTTGTGATAGTAGCAAAACAAAAAGGGTGTCATGGTAACACACAGTGAACACAGTGCACCTTCCTCTTCATGCTACCTTCAGGGTGCTACCATACGTCTGCTGCACAACCAACTGCACGTTGTCTAGAATAAAGTCGAAAGCCATGCTCCAAACCGACTCCAGCGACTGCTGCATGAGCCTGCAGGGAAAACACCAGAGATAAGGAATACATTGAAATAATAACATAAAGGCGGGGGGATGTGGGGGAATGCAGGGGGGGGGGGGAATGCACTCACCTTTTCATATATTTTATAATCAAATCCAATTTCTCCAGATCTTTATCCTCGATCAGATCAGTGCAGAACTTCACCACCTGCAGGATGTCCTCCTCCATGGGTTCTAACAAAAGTGGAAAAAAAGTGATTAAAATGAATAACAGCGTAGGTAATTGCATAAGTAGGCACTATGAGACAACTGTTCTTTACTGTACGACTAAAACTAACACATTTTAAGATTATTTATTAGATAGTTTGGTGCTGAAAATAGTCAAAAATGTAAATGCAAGTCTCTGAAAGACCTACATATTTTCTCAAAACGTCTTTTGTTGTCAGTCCAAAACCCAAATATATACAGTTCATCATGATATAAAACACAAAAAGCAGGAAATGTCCATATTTCAGATTCTGAATACAGATATTCATGCATAAAAAATACTTTTGTTATTTTACTGTGGATCAAATAAGTGTTATTTTATGTTAACCGTTGCAGCTCTGCTTCACAGTATACCTGTTATGGTGGTGACCCATTCCCGTAGCAGCGTCCTAATGTCCGTCATGTCGTAGGCTCCGGCCAGCACAGGAGCAGGGCGGGGGATGAATTTGGACTCTGCGATGTCTGCTTTAAGGTTTGACGTGGAGGGACCATTTTCCGTCTATGAAGGGAAAAAAAAGAAGGTGTGAGCCATAAATTATCTTCACACACTGCCACCATGTTTATGAAGGAAACTGTTCTTGACTTACCTTCAATGTGTTTATTGGTTCCCGTGGTTTTAGAGGGGAGGGCAGGGTTTTGGCTGGGCTGTTTGTCGTGTTTCGTCTCTTCACAGGCGAGGGACCTTTTTTAACGGGACTCCCTGCATTTTTTCTCTTGTAGCGCCGCTTCACCCGACCAACTCCAACTCCAACTCCCGGCTGTTTGAGCTGCAGCAGAGGATTCTTCTGCTCCACTGCTGAGAAACCAACAGGGAAAACATGAGACAAAGAGAATATCGCTGCTTATAATAAAAGTCGAGAAAAAGCTCAACTCATTCCTAACAAATCTCCCTGGAGACTTACATATTGTTGCCTGAGGCTGGACATGTGTTACTCTGTTGTAGGCATTCTTCAGTTCGTCCTGCAGCTCTTTGGGAAGGGCGGCAAATACGTCCGGATCAACCTGCAGGCAGGAAGCAGGAAGACTTAGTAAAACAGGACAACTAGTCGCAAACATGTTTCACTATATACCACAATTGTCAATAAACTGTTAGACGGAATTTACTGTAAAAGATAGACACTTTGATATTAAGTAGCGCCTCTTAAATCACGCTCTTGGTTATGGACTTACTTTCGTACTTTGATTGAATTCAGTTAACCAGAAAAAATGATAAAAATTAAGAATATAATGTTATATAATATAGTATTAAATTAGATAAATATTACTGACAGTATTTTCTTTCTTTTTTGATAGGTGAAATGTTATTTGTTACAAACAATTACAACTTTTCTGTATAATTTGTGACGGATAAAAGGTGCTTCTTAAAGACATCATTTATCAATATTTTTTTAACATGCAATGCAGGTTTTCAAATCTTTGTGTGAGAATTTGGGCTTTAGACTGATTAATGGATTATTTCCTAAAGGCTAAATCTCAATGGAGGTGCCTTCCTACCTGTGAGAAGTGTGGTAGTTCCAGAACAATCCCCGGACTGTCGGGCTGGTCTGGGAGCTGAAGCAGCAACGTGCCGGCGGGCGGCGTGTACAGCGCTGAGGCAGCAGGACGAGGGGGGGAGGGGGGGCGAGACCTCACAGAGGGAGGCGGGGGGGGAGGAGCGGGGGGCGTCGGGCTGTGGGGGCGACGGTGACTCGAGGTCCTGTCCCGATTGGTCCACGACTGCTCCACCTGCTCTCTCAGATCTGCAGGCAGCGCCTCCAACACAGAGCGATCCACCTGGGGAGGAAACACACGTTTTTAGAGCCAGCATTTTGTTTTTATAAAAAAAAAAGGCCACCTAATCGTGACGTCTGTAGTCAACACACTATAAAAGACTACAATTCCCACGGGGCCTGCGCTAAAGTGACAGTAGAAAGACGCCACAGAGGCACAGTTTTTAACCGTTCAACTGCCATTTAAGTTACCAAGCTACATAAGCCTTAACAAAGAAAGAAAGCAAGAAAGAATACCCAAGTTGTTTTTTATTTTATTTGAGTTTTGCCTCTTTGTTTTGACTATTGTAAAGGCCTCTTTTCTTTGTTGTATGTGTAAAAGTGTGTTATTTTATTTTGAGCAAACCCATTGCATAATATCATCCAAACCATCGGAGGCAACTCAGCACCTGTAAGTAACACAAATATAAAGGAAAGAAAACGAGTTGGAAATGTCTGTTTCGGGCGTCTATCGGCTTGATAGAAAACAAGGAAGGAAGCCACGACACAACTTGTTTAAAACATTTAACCGTTCAGCTCCTGCAATCACTCAGATATCTCCTTCACAAAACCAAAAAGGATACATTTAGAACACGGTAAAAATAGAATAAATTAATAATAATGAAAGTATATCTTTGTTATGGAGTAAATCATGATACCATGAGCATGCATACAATAACACTGTAACCTCCCCTCACCATGTGTGTGAGCCCTGTCCTTGTCTTGTATCGTTGTGTTTCCTGTCTTTGAAAATATACAATAAAATCTTAATGATGAAAAGATATCTCCTTCAAGTCCTTACCTGTGAAGGGGAGGGGATCTCAATACTGAAGTTGAGACGTGCTCGGGAGTTTTTGGGAGTGTGTCTGCCTGCGTGCTGGTCTCTGCTCGTCCCGGGGACCGGCTCGGGGGAGGACAGAGGACGAGGAGTGGAGCTGGAGGACGGGCCCACGTTTAGGGAAGAATTCTCCTGATGTGAGCTGTCGTCTGCAGGTTCTGTAACGTTGATGTTAAACAGAATAGATTTCAGAATCAGACCCAGATTACCTTTATTCGTCTAGGTATATATATATTAACGGCACATATATATATTGCACATATTGCACATAGTTGGTGTTATAGACGACACAGACGACAACAAAGATACAACCTGAAACACAGAGACTTTACACTGACCTATTTTTCTGGATCTGCCACTTCCCTGGCGTAGAAACATTTGTTTGATGGAGCGAGACCCGGGGCCCGCGGAGTCCTGGGGGCCGGAGTGGTGTCCGTCGAGGAGCTGGACTTGGATGCCGATCCCCCTCATCTCCTGGACCTGAAGCTTCATGGCGTGGAACAGCTTGATGACCGCAGCGGCGATCAGCTGACCGCTGTCTGTGGACTGAGCGAGCATCACAGTCCTGACGGAGGACACGGAGAGACAACGACATGGATAAGCAATGGAGAGAGGACATTAAAAATGACTAGTCACACATAGGGATTATGGTACAGATGCAGCGTTTTCAATTTCCTTTATTAATCCTGTTTTGTTTTTTTGTTTGTTTTTTAAAGCTGATGTGCCGAATTAAGATTTTCTCCAATTTCTGTTTTCTTCAGTTTCTTAGAAATACAATTACAGCATATACAGAAAAAAATGTGTTGCTTGTTATTCTTGGAAATTGAATTTGTACGTCCATGACTATTAAAAAAAATACATTTTCTCCCAAACTGCACCAGCTTACAGAACCTTCTTGTCTTACAGGTTGTTTCTACACAGCTTATTTAGGATTGTAATGTGTTAGCTAATTGTCAGCTTTATGTCCTCCTGGCTACACTGAAGAACTTCCACACCAACGACATGATGTACTCTTATATACGACAGTGATTGGCCGGTCACTGGTCGATCAGCTGACAACTGTCCGCTTCGATCAGAGCATTGTTGACGGTCGCTATCTCACCTGGCGAGGTTGTCACATATGCCGTGACCTCCGTATTTAGCCGGCTCCAGTGGCGCTCCAGCCTTGCGCACCATGACCTTCAGGGTCACTCTGCGGCCCCGCAGCCCGGCGTCTTGTAAACGTTTCTGCACCTCCATGGACAAGTTATTGAGGAAAGACTCAGCCTCGTCAACCTGGACACAGAGGGAAGGGGAGAGAGGGTTAGAGAACGGTGGGAAATGGGGAGAAGATACAAATCTTTGCAGTCACTTGTCGTTTCTGATTTTTTCTTATTTTATCTTAAAATCAGGTAATTAAGTATAATACAGTGAATGAAAGCAGTACACATTTTTCTATTTGCAATGCTTGTTTTTATTTATTTTCACTTCTTTGGTATAAAACCTGTAGTCTGTAGTATAACTAATATTATATAACTAGAAATGTTATTTTTGTATTTATTTTTGGAGATATTTTGAAATAATCTTTTCTAGATTGATAGCAAGCATATACAGTAGCCCACCTATGCATTTGCTCATGTCTTTCTTTTCAATCAATGCAATCAAGTATGCACAAATAAAGAACTACAGAAATAATAACTGCAACATGACAGAGAGAGGTCGGTCTAACCTTAGTGAAGCGGATGTTGTAGTTCATCTCAGCAGAGACAGACTTCCTCTCCTTCTCGTAGCGGACGGGCCGCTCGTCGAGGCCCCTGCAGAAGCGGAACAGAGTCTGTCCGGTCCGGGGTCCGAACTTCTTCTGCAGCTGAGACAGAGAAACCTGCTGGAGATCCCCACAGGACCGCACACCCATACCTGCCAGCTTCCTGCCCATTACAGGCCCCACACCTGGATACAAAAAAACAACAATCAATCAAATATTTTCTACAGGAAACACTGTATGTGTACGGTCATGACCAGCAGGTGGAGCTGTGTACCTGGCAGGCTGGTCACTGGCAGCTCTCTGATGAAATCATCCACCTCTTCAGGCTTCAGGAGGTGCTGTCCGTCCGGCTTGGCCTTTCGGGTTGCCAGCCGAGCCAGAAGGATGTTGGACCCTGAACAGAGGAGCAGTTTGAGTCTGTAACTGTGAAACTTTTATAATGTCTCAACACCTAAATATGTAACTTATGTCACTCGTTTGTTATTTTTAATTGCCGATACTCATTTTTAGCCATGGTTGTCTACTTATTTGTCTTCATTTTGATTATATTACTAATGTGTGCTTTCCTTCCCTGTATTTAATAAGTTAGCTTACTCTTTTTGTACCTGCTATGCCACTTTTGCCCTAACACTGTAAATGTTCCCGCTGCGGGAATAATAACGATTCAAGATTCAAGATGCAAAGGTTTTATTGTCATAGGCACAATGGCAATTACATTCTTCTGACCTGAGCTCCTCCAACAATGCAACATATATAATAAAATACAAAAATACAAAGTAGTGCAAAAAGTCTATATACATGTAAATAGAATATGATATGTACAAGAACAGAATATGAATGCCTCTGTGTTTAGTGTCCTGTCTGTCTGTAACTTTGTGTGGTAGTGTTACCACTGACAGGTCTCTCTTGCAAATGAGACCTTGTGTCTCAATGAGATTTTAAACCTGTATAAATAAAGGCTAAATAAAATTAAAAAATTAAATTAAATAATGTAAATTAAGACTAAATTAAATACGGTTTATTGCGGTGATAACTATTTATATAAATAAGTATATTGTAAGATGACAAACAGGAATGTTTATCGGGGCGCTTAAAGGTGGGGTAGGTAAGTTTGAGAAACCGGCTCGAGATCGCTAGAATTTGAAAATACACAACCGGAGAAAATCTGCCACTTCCTTACAGAGACCCTCCTCCAACACACACGAACGCGCACATGACCAATGAGGGCACGAGATAAGTTTGTGCACAGATGGAAGGCTGACAGGCAGGTAGGCCATCCAGTTATTTTAGCCGGGCCGGCTAAAATGATTGGTCGTGCTTTTTACAGTATTACGGCTTCCACAGATGACATTTTTTAATGGATTTTTTGTCAAAGCACTTAAGATATTCATTGCTATCGGGATGTTAAGAGCATTCCATGGAATATAACAAAAAGTGTATCTCGAGCCGGTTTCTCAAACTTACCTACCCCACCTTTAACAGAGCTCAGGAATTTTGATTCTGATCAAATAGAAACACTGTCTTGATGTATTTTACAGTACAGACCCACAGAAACTCACCCATGCCCACTGAAGCACAGCATCCCGTTTTCTCCTTGATGTCGGCTCTGATGGTGCGGGCCAGATCTTGAGGGTTGATGCGCAGCTCGGCCAGCAGAGCAGAACCGTCGATTAGCAGCTCATCACAGCTCAGAGCCTCGATGTCATGGGTGTAACTGCAGAGAACAAATTAAATGAGAAGGCGTGCCTCATGTCATTGTGCCTGTAAGAGGACAGGGAAGTGAGTGAGAAAAGAGCAGGGACTTCTTCTTACCCGGCCAGAGTCTCATACATGGTGAGAGCCACCTCTTTGTACGCCTCAAAATCATACGGGACCGACTGCAGCGAGGGACAGAGCTGTTTGGCTTTTCCAAAATACATCCCGTTCTTCACGCCCACCTGCCTGTGAGAGGGAACCACTTACAGTGAGTACAAAACATGGAGTTCCCACACCTTCTCAAACATAGGATTCAAGGACCAGCACAGGATGGTTGAAGACACTCGTACATCAATTAAAAAGACTAAGAGGTTTGAATGAGTGAACACCTCTCAATGTTACTGTTTTACAGTGATGGGAGACTTTGTGTTCCCTTTAATTAATTTACAAAACAATAGCAGTAAGTTGAGCGATAAGCATAGAGACCTCAAAAAGTTGATTAAAGTAACTGTATTTGTCATTTTTGCACAAAATGTATAAATTCTTTAAAATATTAGTAAAACTTTAAATGACTCGTGTTTATTATACGACCAATTTCATAACCCTACCATGACATATATTTGTTTGTATGGGGTTGTAACATGGACAGCATGCCCCCAGTTTGGAGAAACCGACCCCAGAAAACAATAGCTGAATTCAAAAGAGCCGTTTTTTTTTTAAGGGGGCGGGGTTAATAGGTTTATCTGCTAAATATACCTTATGTAATTCAATCAAATGTAGCCCTGTTTTGACTAATGATTTATATGTGTACACATATATCACTTAAATGATTCAATACATCCTTTGTACTGAAGTATTCAAAAGTAAAAATAATTTTTTTAATATAAATGATTTGCTGTGGCCAATTGTTTTCATTGCATTTACAGACCCTTGTAACTCTCTGATTGTAGAACCACGCTAAAAAAAGCAGATAGCAACACCTATACAAACTGACAACAAATCTTTGCTGAGCCTAAAAACCATCATAAATAAATAACATAATGAAAATAAATATATTGCAATGCTCAAAACAGCAGCATCCAACAGTCTGTAATCCTTGGGTATTACATGTCACTGCATGCAGGAGATCATCATATCATTCTGTCTTGAATTACTTAACAAGTCGCGACCGACACATCACTACAATGAACACCAGAAAAAGGGCCCACCTAAAAGAAATAATATCAATGAAAATTCATATCCTACCTGGCCTCATAACTGCAGGATGCAATCTCTGCCCTAGAGAGAGTCGCAATATCCTGGTCCACTCCGTTAGTATGGGGGACAGGACTGTCTTCTGATGGACTTCTGTCCAGATCCTCATCTTCCATCTCTGAGAGGCAGAACAAACGTACATTTAGTGTCAGGATAATACAGGAAACACACAGAGAAAATCAAGGTCAGCAGAAAGCTCCATGACAACCAGGCAGTGTGTGATGTGCTTCTCACCAGGGAGAGCATGTTTCCTCTGGTAGTACTGGTTCTCCAGCTGAGGCTGGGCCCCGGGCCTCAGGGGGACCCGGCCCTGTCCACGGCTACTGGTCACAGCTACTGGCCTCCCTGCAACACAACCATGAGATCAACCAGGAGACCGACTGGACGTGTGAGGCTGTTCTGTCGTGTTGAATATAAACCGGTTCACTGACAGCTCACACTTCAATACAGACTAAGAGGAGCCTTACCTTGGAGCTCTGGTCGATGTCGGATCCCCACAGACACGAAGAAACAGTCCATGTCCACGTGAAAAATACACGATTTGACACTTGTGGGTGCTGACGTACCTGACCACACAAACAAAAGCAACAAGTCAGAGGAAGGGTTCGCAAATCATGACATGAATGCAACAACTAATGATCCCCGGAAATCCAGGAGTACTCATGAATTCTGTAAATTAGTGATTAATGATCATTTAATTTGCAGAGACACATACATTGTTAATATCTTAATTCACAGAGAAAATATTTGGTTTATCTTTTAGAACTAGGATATGTATTTATAGTCCTTATTTGTGCTGGTTTGTCAATTCAAGATGAGAAACCACACCGCTCTAAAGATGTTCTCATAGCATTTTTTTGACATTCTACAGTCAAGAGAAAAAAAAGACTCCACTCTGTCTCTGACAGAACTTGAACAGGAGAAGTTGAAGTTATGTGGTATGTGTCTCAGACCTTTAAGTCACCATGACACCTAAATATAGAGGGTATGCACAGACGTCACTTTCCCACTGGCACACAACCCCCTCAGTCACACTGAACGGCTAAAGGGCAAAACAACATGGCAGCTGTAAGTTGTCAAAACTGCAGCAGTGGGGTAAAATAAAAAAGCTCAAGAGGTTGACCAATCACAACAGAGCCGGCCAGCTGCAGACTGGACTCTGGTTTCAGACAGAGGGTGAAAAGAGGTGCTGCAGCACAGGCAGTATGAGAAAAATACAGACTTTTTTGAACATTAAAGCATGGAGACATGTCACAGTAGAGGAAGAAAATACTAACATGAAATGCAAAAAGCAACCATTCCTCTCTTACCTCCTCTGTCTGAGCGCTGGGCAACCGATTTCCTCAATCGTTCCCTCCCTGGGAAAGAGGCGCCCCCCGCTGCTTTCCTCTTGCTGTGCAGCTCATTGACATACTCCGAGAAGCCGGACCTCCATGTGGAGATCTGGTGTAAACGTGAGTGAGAGTAATACTCAGAGATCAGTCCGCCTGTCTGGGCCATTAGCTGCGCCGAGGACTTAGACGGTGATGGAGACTTTTCAGTGGGATGATGAGGTTTGGATGTTATGTTGGTTGAGTTTAGCGAGGCAGATGAAAAGGCATTGTGGTGACTCCCGTTCAGACGGACAGGAGAATGTGAAAGAGAGCGATGTGCGGCGGAAAGAGGAGTCTTTTCTGGATGTGAATTAACTGGACGGGATGGGTGGAGCTGTTTTGGGAGTAGGTGGGTTTCCGTGGCTTTTAAAGCCTCCTGGTAGGTGGGTGGTGGAGGTTTAAGTCTCTTCTCGTTGGCTTCATGTGAACTGGATTGCTTCAGAGAGACCACAGACTGCTCGGATTGCTTTGGAGGACTCTGGGGGAACTCATAAGGGTCGGGTTTGGTCTGAAACGGCCCTGGAGGACTGTGAGGTTTATCGTGTGAACTCTTGACTCTGCGTTGAGGCAGCTCCGTGTCATCAGAGGGTTTAGCAGGGGACAGCAGGTCCTCTGGCTTTAAGGCACCATTAACAAGGTGAGAGTGTCCATTCGTCAGGTGAGCTTCCTTCACCACCTGCGGGAGAGGATCTGCTTTGCCACACTCTTGCATTTCTTTTGATTTTGAATGGCTCATCACGTCAAATGAGGTCTGCAGGAATCCATTTCTGTGGGATAAAAAGATAAAGAGAATGTGTCTCATTTAGTAAGACATTATGTATTACAATGGGTGCAACGATCTCATTTAAATGAAAAAACAGTTCCCTCCTGGATTCCTACACAATTAAACCAGTGGATTTCCATGACCTTTCATCAATTGTATTTATGATCAAATATTGTCTAAATGTATTCCGTTCAGGTAATAAGCCTAAGCATGAAGGGTAAAAAACAGAGATGGAAGATCTTTTATTTTGCTACTTTTAAACTTTTAAATGTTAAATATTTAAGGGTTTTAAGGGATTTATTGTTGTATATGTAAGAAAAAGAAAAACTGTAAATTCAACTTCAATAACTTTTTATAGAACTACAGGTCTGAAAATATGAATTATTACATTTCAAATTCCTTGAAGTTCCCATTTTATGGCTCATTAACTTTCCATACTCACATCTTTAACTCCACTTCCTTGCAGCTGCTGTTGTAAGAAGAGTTGCTGTGAGGTTGTTGTTGACCGGCCCTCTGGTGCTGCAGATTAGCTTGAGGTGTTTGTAAAGGGGACAGTGGGGGCTTGAGGGGGGGTTTTGTGGAGCTGGGGTTAGACAGCAGGTGGGTGTGTGAGGGGCTTCTGTGCCTGGGATCTGTGTTGAGGTAAGTGGATGCTAAGTGGCTTGGCTGTGGGTTGATGAGGCGAGCAGCAGAGCTCTGCTGCACGGACTGAGGTTGGATGTTGTCTGGGTAAAGTCGACTGTTGTTCGGGGGGGGGGAGGGAGTTATTCTGGCTTTCCTGGTTGAGAACAGAGCGCTGCATGCTGCGCTGCGGCAGGTGGAGCTTCTGATGGCTCGGCCCTGCCATCTCAGGCGTCTGGCGGGAAATCATAGCAGGGAAGAGCGGGCCCTTCTGATTGTAGAGCTGGTACTGCAGGCAGGGCAGGAGACACCCAGCCTGGATACTGTTTAAACAAATGAGAACATAAACACAGAATCAGAATCAAGTTTATTGCCAGGTACGTTTACACATACAAGGAATTTGCTTTGGTATCTGGTGGTGTGAACATAAACAATCTAAAAAAACAAGTTGCAAAGTATATAGAAATATATAAGGATAACCAAAATAAAGTATTTTTAAGAAACCAAATTTAAATGCAACTATACAAATAAACAAGGGGGATTTTTCAAGATATTCTCCCACTGAACTCACCTGTCAGTGATCCACAGCGGCCGGACGATCTTTTCCCCTCTCAGCTCCTTGATTTTGAAGTTGGGCAGGTTGTTGGTGATGATGTGAGAGGTCTTGGAGCGAGAGTAGTAAACGTGGAACTGACCGCCGTGCAGCATCATCAGCCTGCGCAGCTCATCCGCACTCGGGTCTGCTCACAAACAGACAAATTAAAAATTAACCAAAAACACCCAAATAATCTATTTCTATGGTCCACACAAGACAAGAGTCAGACTAGCAGAAAAACATCACAAACACAGGAAACATTTACATGAGAAACAATTAAAGTCAGTTGTGACATGAAACATCATGTGAAAGGAACAAAAAGAAAAACACTTGTGAACTATTTTTACATTTATATTGGACTTTTTTCTGTTTACCATCTGGATTTAGTTTTTTGCGGTGCCGAATGTTAGAGATATCGTCCCTTGAGATGTTTGCCTTAATAAAAAACTCATCTACAATGCCTCTCACAGAGTTGCTCAACATAATCCACAAACCTTGTGGGGAGAAGTTTGCTGTGGGAACTATTTTATTTCTACCTAACTACACCTGCCAGAGAGTGAGCACGAGCCTCCTGAGCAGATGCATGTTCCTTCTCTACGGTCATATGTTTGCTCAACTCAAAAGAGGGAAAATATGTATTTTTGACGCTCGGGTGACTTCAGGAACGACTGATGAATTATTGAGGGGGAAAGGGAGACAAACTAGTGTGACAATATGGAGGTGCTGTAGCGTAGTGTTACCTGTGTATCCATTAACATAGATAGATACTCCGCTGAAAATAGTGGAGCATGACCCATCCTTCTGCTTCTCTCTGGGGGCGTCCAGTTTAAACTGCTCGTCCAGTTTAGAAACTTTGGCAGCCATGTAGCCGCCCTGCACACAAGAAGGAGGGCAAGGTGAGAAAAAGATTTACAACTGTGCCTGCAGAATCCCACAGCTCATATAGCAATCTAGGATATCTAGGAAATGTACATATAAATAAAAAAAATAACAAAATAACGGCCAATTATAGTTGTATAGTATTATTCTAGTTTGGCCATAAAATAATACATCTTTCAAAGGAAATATTTAGTCTTGCAATGCTGTTATGAATATCAAAATGCCTTTGTCTATGATAATATTAATAAATAATAATACACTTTATTTGTATAGCACCTTTCATGCACAAAGCAGCCCAAAGCGCTTTACAGAACAAGAAAAACAACATCACAATATTAAAATATATGCAGAACAAGATAAAACATCTACAGTGATCTTAATGAAATTCCCTCGAATTAAAGCTGAAATTAATTAATTAATATCAGTTAAAATAAAACAATTTAAAAAAGAAAATTGAAAATGTAAAATAAAAGCAAAACAGAAAGACTACAGTAAAACATGGACAATGATACCAGTGGGAATTTAAAGTTGATGATGAGAATAGTACCTACATAAACAATCTGGCACCAAGCCACACTGTTTTAATTATCAGTATGTATGACAATAAGGGGCACATGTATGTTACCATGGGTAACTTAGGGTTTAAAGTTTTCTGCTTCAGTTACAAGAATAGCTATTGTAGGATTACTGTCTTGTCTGAATGGTGATACTACTGTTATTATGAGATGTAGTTTTGGGGCTAAATGCAGCTCTCTCACAGCTGTGTTAAAGCTTTGCCTGGCAGTCCAGCCTGAACCTAATTAGACAATGACTAGTGATCTGCTTCAGGCTCTTCGCTGCTTTAATGAAATTGCAGGGGGTGAAGAAGAAAAGGGTTGTTTACTTACAGTTTTCCAGTAATATTGTAAAACTCACTATGCATAAACCAAGGAATACCCTCTTTCCCTTGACGTAGTATTTACAACTGAATATTCATCTTCCCGTCTACCTCGCCTAAGGTAACATTTCTCAGAGTCATGTCTACTGTTTTTATGTTCATGTCTTCATTCTGGGGTTATTTCTGCCCTACATTGTTGATTACAAGGACATGACAGGTACTCACCCTCTCAGCCCAACCATTGTCACCACTGGCATTGGCTTTCTTTTTTGACCACACATCTCGACTCATACTGAAAGCAAGACAAGAAGAGTTAGACATCAGTACTGAGGAGACAAGGCAAATACAGCTTAGTGCTTTGTTCATTAATTAAGATAAGAAAGATAAACCTTTATTAAACGCCATAGGGAAATTCAGGTGTCAAAGCAGCAACAGTAATAAGAGTGAATCACGAGATAGGATAGGAACTGGAAGAGTTCACATAAGGATAATATGATACAAAACAATGAAGTAACGCTGTAAATAAAATAAAGAAATACGAGATAGCAGATATACATAAAGATCATTAGAGTATTTTATTTTTACAAAACTTATTGTTTACAATTAGTTTTTGTGATGCACACAAATAGCTTTACAATCCTGATATGATGATGGATGTCAACACAAATCAGACACATGTGTGCCAATCAATTTAATTATGAACCTACTTACAGTAAGTACATGTTTGAAATGTGCAAAAAATACTGACTGCATGTTTGTTGTTGTATACAAAGCCCTCTCAGCTGCAGAGAAGCAATGACACTGCACACAATTGACATTAATGGCTGTTGTGTTATGCATTTACTACTATAGTTTCATGTCAGCAGAAATGTTGTGATACTGTTTTTACGCACAGCTTTGTGTCCAAGGGCATGCCCGGGCAGGTCTGCAGACACTGACAGGTTGGTTACAACAGAGCCCCATGTGGCACTTTGTCACATCCCCAGTGCAAGCAGCTAACAGTAAGTTAGCCTAGCCACTCCAAGCAATGCTTTGTTTGTTAATCGAGAAGGTCGATGCCGCATGACAGGACTGTAACATGGTGTCAATGATAGCAAACATACGAGTTGAGTGTTGCCATGCACTCGGGAACAAAGCTGCCAATTCAGCTAGCAGACAATAGACACAGCAACGTTACTCATAACGACTTTGCAACTTCAATGCGGTGTAAATCTGTAAAAACAGTCCTGGGTAAATGATGGTAAACACAAGTGACTTGTTTTTACCTTTAATCCTGTCAGGCTGTGTTTTTCGCTACAGACTTCTCTGCAGATACAACACACAGTGCGCACTGATTACGCGGTGAGACCAAAGCAAAGCGAAATGAAAATCCTCCAGTCAGTAAACGCTAGCTCGACCCGTCAACCTTTACTTTGTTCTTCAGATAACTCCTTTTTGTTGGGCTGAAATCCTGTTATTTTGTCTTGCTGCCACGCCATGTCTCTTCAGCGTTTTCGCTTTCCCTCCCAGTCCTTTTGCTCTCCATTTCTACCGCCCGCCTGCTGGAGCTTTTTGCTTTCTCTTTTCTCAGCGAGCATCAAGCGAAGCCAGCAGAACATAGTAGTTCTGGGGGGATTTTCAAAATAAAACATTCGATGACGTTAAAGGTGTGTACTACTGAGTCAAAATATTGTGGGAAACAGGTGGGTAATATAAATAAAGATATGTGTTAAAATGTATTATTTTGAATACATTTGGATTCACATAATTATCTGAATATGGGGTTTAAACATTGAGGCAATACAGTAAGAGTCCTCTTCTAGATCAACATTTTATGTTTTGTAGAACTGTATGTTTAACTCTGAAACCTCCCAAATAATTGTATTTCTTTGCTTTACCTTTTGTCTGGGTAAGAGTAATTAAGTTTATCTTGTCTAGCCAAGATTGTATTTTATTTTGAGAAAACACCACCCAACTTCCGGTTAGCCTATAGCTTATCTGAGCTAACTTGATCCGGCTCATCGCCGGCTTCTTGTTTTTAGCTTCAAGTTGTGGTTGTAATGCTGCCACTGTGCGGGCAACCGAGTCCATGCATGTCACCTGAAATGACTCTACAACATCCTCTGTAAAAGCTGTGTACAGTTTACAAACCAGCCGTATTTTCACTGGACCATAGACTGTATATAAACCCTAACAAGAGAGTCGTTTGCATGCAGAACATAACCATTTGTTTATCTCTCTCTGACAGTTTGTCCACCTCTTTAAATGTGTTTTTCTTATATCAGGAGGGTTTGTGTCCACAGTGCGCCCACGCCGCCTTCTCTCCTGCAGCAGACAGTACATGTAAAGCCTAGTCTGAGCTTTTTTCTCTCTCGGTGTTTGTGCTGTCTGGCTCCGGGCAGCTCGATGTCCTCAAACGGCCCGGAACACACTCACTACTGACGGCCGTGACGCAGAGGGACGTGCGTAGGAACCAGCAGCAGTCACGGAGCTCACATTGACACAATAATAACCAAGTACAGTTTAAGTACAGTAAGAAAAAAACATTTAAAAATAGGTTATTCAGCAGCTCCATTAATGAATGAATGCACCATGGAGGGAAACAAGGTCACACGCACACTGAGCCAGAACCATAGACTGTCTGTTACATAAATATAGAGGCTATAAATACATCTTGATATACAATAATAATAACCAAGTAGGCCTACTACAGTAAGAAAAAAAATAGGACTGTTTTGTGTACTGTATTTCTATGCATTTCCACGTTAGTGAGCAGCTCAATGAATGAATGAGTGCACCATGGAGTGAAATAAGGACACACGAGCCAGAACCATAGACTGCCTGTTACGTAAATATAGAAGCTATAAATACACCTTCAAATACAATCTATGCCCAGAATAAAAAGGGTAGACTACAGCCTGAGAGCAAAGCTTTTTTGACTTTTGAATTTTGTACATATGACTGATTTAATTTAGACTAATTCCTATTTTTCAAATCAAGGCAACAAAGGGTATATTTCAACTGCTTGAAATGATCATGAAGAGATTAAATGATTACGCCCACTTGATCTGTAACCAATTTGCATAGTTAAATATATTTTGCATTCACCTTCAAATAAAGGACAGTGATATAAAGTAGCAGGATTTTAAAATGCATACTTGTCATGTATTCTTTTTCTGTAATATGCCTTTGCGAGAGACACATTTCCATTTTATGCACATGTTATGGACTATACAATAATCTTAATCCAGGTCAAAATCCAGAGAAAGAAAATGTACTTATTTGCAATAAACCCCATTTCATAGAGTGAAAAACACCATTATGCTATTGACCCAGAGATTGCCGCCTTGTCCTGAGGAGCCCCCTCATTGGTTGTTCTCTGTTGCTATGGTACCAGACATCGGATGCTGATGCTGTTTCATACGCGACTTGTGTGTCAGTGCAGCAGGAAGTAGATGCAGTGATGGAGAGTCAGAGGGTGATTGATGGATGTGCAGAGAGAGAGAGGGAGATCTCTGCATAACGACTTAATGAGTGTGACTCACACACACATAACCACCCACGTCTGTAGTGAGTGTGTGTGGCTGTGTCAATTATAGAAAGAAATCCAGAGTGAGAGAGAGAAATAACCTGAAATAGCCTCTTTCTTTTCATATAAAGACACATAAATCTATTTAACTGCCCAACAAAGTTATCAATAATATGATGAAATAAAAAAGGATACTGAGACAATACGAGCAGGATATTCAGTAGGATGCTCAGGAGATTTCCCCAAACATTGATGAGTGAGAATTATTCATGTGTTTGCTGTGCATGCATTATAATGTAAAGACCAGGTTTCCTGCAGAGAATATGGGATCACTTTATGTATTTGGGGCATTCTTGTTCATAAATAATTAACAACATGTATGCAAAAGTCACAGAATCAAACAGTAGCTTCAAGAATGAAACACTTCGATAGCTCAGAATAACTGCCCACATGTTTTATTTGTTGAGCAATTCAAATAACTTAAAACTGATGACATTTAAAGAGCAATTCAGTTTGATTGTCAGGCACAAGGGGAAAGCAGAACACCATGATTTAAGGAGGGTTTCATAAGCTGAAGATTTGGAGAATATCTTGACCCACAGATGACATTGTAATCCTTCAGTTAAAACATGGAAAAGAGGAAAAGGATTATCAACTCCATGTTGGTGTTTTGTTACCTGTGGCATTCATGCTGGCAGAAGCTGGGGACAAGACAATACACTTGAGTGAGCAACCTCTTCAACCCAATTATTCATTAAATTATATAACCTCACACTCAAAACAAGGACAAAAATACAATGTGCATAAAATGAACCTTGAACGGACTCACAAAAGAACATTTTCCTTATTTCTTTTCTTTATAAAAACAGATATTGCACGGTAAAAAAAACACATAAAAGTGAAAATATCCGAGACTTAAAAAGAGAGTCATTAAAACCTTCATTATAAAAAGATGGAGACAAGTTTCCCACTTTGGAGAAAGTGGTATGTGATTAATTTGGTCTTTTTTCTTTTTGACAACTTCTCCTTTCTTTTTGGCTCCGAGATAAACAGTCTGCTGGATAATGATTAATTCCAAAGTATGAAAAAGGCCTCACAAGTGGAATTTCACAAACAAATGTGGAGTCCTGTTTCCGTCAACGTTGGACATTTGGCAAATAATTAGAGACTTCATTTATGACACAGCTCTTCCGATGAATCCAATAATGAGGCAGAAGGTGCTCGTAGTTCATCTGGGAGAAGTTAAAAGCTTGCTCCTTTGCACACAGTACGCAATCCAACATCCTATGAGGATGATCTCAGGCTCCATGACATTTCCTCCTCCAGCTCCAACTCGCTCAGGAGGCATCAGTGCTGTCCGGTCGGCTGCATAAAGATCCAGAGTCTCGTCTCTTCTGTGAGGCCGTGTGCAGGTTACAGTAAATCCTCTCCTTGTCAGTTAAGTTTGGCACTAATGCGTATCCACTGCAGAGCCTGTCTGGTGTATTGGACTGCATGAGCGATGCTACTGTGAAGAGTCAAAGGCCCAGACAACGTATTCAAGTAGTTGAAGAACTCTGTAATGAAAAAAAGAAGAAAGTGTTTTAAAACGTTGTTAAAAGACAAGTACACAGTGAAGAACTGAACACAAGATACATTCACAGAGTCTTTCCTTTCTGCCATCATGCATAGACTCACCATGGATTGTAGTGTATTAAGTAATGATGGTTGGTAAAACATAATACAGACCAAGAATTGTAAATTACAAATATTTAAAATAATTACTGTAACAGGAAATGATGTCCTCAAAATGCATCACTCATTGTTAGTTATTACATTACTACTTGGGTTAATTGTACAGTTACAAGTCGTTATGTGCTGGTAATGTAATGCATTGACTATAATAAGACATTCCCATAAAATATTTCACTTAACATTAGTCAGAGGACCTAGAACTCAAAACGGATCCTATTGAGAAAAAGGTTTGTAACCCCTGATATAAAGAATTGTATAGAAATTATTTACCTCAAATAAATGTATTTAAATGTCTGATGAAGTGTCAGCTATCCTTATTTGGTGGTGAAATATTGTAAATTGTTTGTCTTTACCATGAGTGGAACAAATACAAAAATGAAATGAAATATTCACCTAAATCTGAAAACAAAATGTTCTCAAATATCATGCATCTTTATTGTCTGTGTGTACCTTTATTCTCCTTTGCCAGGTTGTCGGCCACCTCCCAGTACTCGTAGCTGTACAGCACGCTGTTGGTGATGTTCAGGTGGTTGGCTGCCATCTGGTGGATGCGCTGGGGGATGCTGATGTGAGAGGGGAAGGCGCTGCCCCCGTTTGACCCCCGGCTCAGGTGTTTGCTGTTGGGTGAGAGTGAATCAGGGGGTCCTCCTGCTCCCCTGGGAGTGAAAACACATGCACAACATGAGTGGGGGCTAGCAATGGAGGTTTAGTGGCTAAAAGGCATGCACACAAATGAATTAAAACATTAGCCTGTACTATAAAGTTAATATCCACTTACTTCCCAGAGTCACTCCAACTGGGTGGGGGTGTAGAAGGCACTTTGGGAGAGCTCTGTAATGAAACCATAGACAAGGTTAAAAGTCATCAAAATTCAAATGTTAACAATCTAAGAAACTACGAATAAAATGTTATATAAATAAGGCTATCCATATAAATATATGAACAAAAAACCTTTGGAAAATAATAGGAATGAAACTGGAAAATGAAGATTTCTGGCTCTTTTCTTTTTAGGAAAACGGCTCTAAGGACGAAACCTCCCCAGTTGATTTCTTACAATAAGACACATACTTTTTCGATTTTTATATCAACTAGTCTGACAGCAGTCTCGTTGTGTAAGCAGAACAAGCCCATTTCTTGAAATTGACCTGTGCTTGAAAAATCAATGCCTATATTTCCTATAGTGTATAGCCTAAAATGTACTTTATGTAGTAAATATTTGTATTAAAAAGGCACCCCAGACTTACATAGCCTACCTTAAAGTAGTCCAGCAGAACTTTGGAGTATTTCAGTGCATGGTCCTTCTTTAAACGAAACATTTGCCAGTAAAGAAGTGCAAGGCATCGGAAACTGTGGACAAAGGATGACACAAGTCAAACAAACTCAAATAGAAAACAAACCATCGTGAAAAAGCAGGTTCTCTCGTGTGATGATAGATGTGGCATAAACAGAGGAAATGAGAAACACACCAAAGCACCGCCAGCTGTTTGTCCTCGTGTCTCGCCCCGGGCCCAGAGTGGCCCTTCAGCCTCATGGCGTACCTGAAGACACAGCATGGTTAGACGATCCATCTGCATATGTGTTTACTTGTTGCTCGAATCCCAATGACTGGCATCTATTTTTACATGAATGTGTAATTCACCTGATAAGCTCCACGGTTTCTGAGTACATGGTGTAGGGAGACTTTGCCTCGAGCGGCCCTTCCTCCATCGCTTTCCCACATTCCATGAAGGACAGAGCGGCGTCCACGTAATTCACAGCCTTCCCCAGCTTGTCCACCTGGAAATAAGCAATCCAACATAAATAAAGATGGGAGTAAACACAAAAGGAATACTCTGGTATTGTAGTGTCTAAAACATACAGGAATTAGCTGAGAAAGCGTTGACTCTGGAGGTGTTTAGCCTAGCTTAGCACAAACTGCCCAAAGTTGGAACTGGCCAATCGAGCTTCATCAAAGGGTTTTTCTAACAACTTTGTGACTTTACTTTTCTTCAGTTTTTTTTAAGTCTGCTGAGTCATGTCAGACCAGCTAGTAGATGCATGGTATGGTAGAAATATTAGATATAAACTTTGGTTTCGCCCTGGACAAATATTCCTAGCATTTAGCAGGCAGCAGTCAGGGACTACAGATACAAACTAGTTTAAAACTGTAACCTGGTCCTGTGAATGTTTTGAAATGCTCATGGTATCTTTTAAATACAATTCCCAAGATAAAAAAAAAATCCAACACACAAAGTAATAATGATTTTTACCTTTTTGGTAAACATTTCACCAGTTTTTTGTTGAGAATCACAACAGGGTAAGGACTATTGCAGGTTAAAGAAAGATTTAATTTGTAATAATAATTGTCAAGAGTTTCTTTGATTCTGCTCTTGGTATACCAGTTGATCTAATCTACAGTAAGAGACTTCCTGTCACAAGAACATGGTTGACCGAGGCCTAACATCTACACATACTGTAGAGAGTATTTTCATTACTTTGTATGTTTCTCTGTGAAGCTCATTGAATTTTCCCTGGAAAGAAATATGCTGTGTAAACATGTTTTTGTGTGCCTGCTTACTGAACACACACAGACATCAAACAGCTGCCAAACTGAACAACTATTAAACCATTGTACAGTTACCTAGTTTACTTCACTGTCAACATATCGTACATAGTCAAAGATGAAGCACTCACCATTGCGTCGGCACGGTGCTTCATCCTCTTGGCTTCATGCAAGTAGTACTCAGCATGGTGCGGACTGAAATGGACAGAAATATAGAAAAGTGAGTTATCTTGTACATCTGACAAACATAAAGCAGTGTGGGGTATGTAGTGATGCTCACGTTTCGTTGTTTGGCACGGCCCCTCTGTGCCCTGCAGGGCCCCAGGACTCAGGTGGTTGGGGCTGTCTCAACACTTTGACACATTCCACCTCCATCTTGGGCTAAAGAAGAAGAGGTGAAACAAACCAACGTTTTTGCCGCTACAGACTGTGAGGAATGGAGTTGGGATGAACTTGACTTTGGTACCTTGACCTAGTTCAACACAGAGCTTCAGGCTCAGAAACACGTCAGAAACACGTCAGAAACACGTGAAGGAATTGTTAGGTGCTGTTACGTAAATCCTCATTAGTTTTTTTCGAGGAATCAACATGTGTAACTCAAACAGAACTCGATCTGGATCCTGACTGAGATAAATGTAATCTCAAACTAAGACAACAAATAGATTTAAGATTCAAGGCTTTATTGTCATGTGCACATTAGCTACAGTGCAAATATGGCAATGACAAACTTAAGTCACAGGCTCCTCCAACAGTGCAACATGAATATATATAGGACATAGAACAAATAAAACAGATAAAACACATAGAATTGTGTGTACAATACTCTGTTGCTTCTTGTTTTATGTGTGTATTATTGTTGTTGTTGTTGTTGTTGTTTTGCCTGTGTTTCCTTGTTGAGTTCAGAGTTTCGTGTTTGAATGTACTTTCTATTCTGAAATTGTGTTCTGTACTGTCTCTGGTGTAACTGTTCGATTTTACGAATTTTAAAGGTCAATCTAGAGAGTGGCATTGCAAATTAACTTAAAGTTCTTTTTTGTATTACCTTTAAAGCAGAATCTCTATTCTTGTCTCTGTTCTTGTGGACATGGAGCTGCTCGGAAGTCTTTGTTTTGGCGGGGGGCTTGGTGGTCTCAGGGCCGTCGGACAGCGGAGACAGAGGAGACAACGGCCTCTTGTTGTCCATGTACTCCTCCAAGTACCTGCAAGAACCACATGTGTAAATTGACAAAAACGCACATAATTTGTTGTTTAAATACAAATAAACTCCTGCGTTACTTCAGACAGTAAGATTGCACATGTGAGACAAAGTGATGCGTTTGTTTTTCTTACCCATTGTGCAAAGTCTCAGTCACGAAGTTGCGCTCGGCTGTGAGACTTGAAGGCTCTGTGTGTCCTGACGGGTCGTTTGCATGAGGAAGACTCCTCTTGCTTTCTCTGTGTGACACGCCATTCTCCAGCTGGACACACATAAGTACACATATGCATGCTTTGAAGAACAAGTGTGTAGTAATGCGTTCATATTCATACACAATAATGTGCAGAAAGGGTCGATTTACTGAGCTCAATTATTTAAAAAAAGGAGAACTACCAGAGTGCAAAAACACTCCGAGCAGTAGCACTGCATTCAAAAGTACAAGCTCCACCATCAAAGCATATTTAAAGTATCAAAAGGAAAAGTACCTGTTATGCACATGAGACCATTTCATGATATGATTGGATTAAAGATGAAATTACTGCAATACTGTTTTAACACTTTTATGTTGCAGCTGAGAAAGGTGGAGCCCATTTTTATTTCTTAACAAACTGTAAGCTGTAACGTTTTGGTAATAGACAATATTTTGGGAAAGAAAACAGTTTAAATTACATTTTGTACTATTAATGTGAATCCTCAAAGTCACTACATTTATCAAATAAATGTAGTGGATTGAAGTGCAATTTATCTATCTGAGAAAAGCCAATTTAAGTACCTCAGAATGATATATTAGTATTTAAGTAAATGTTTTTTAAGGACTGTCCACCATTGACACACATCAAATTAAACAGAGAGGAAAAGTAAACATGCTTGTTGTCTACCTTGCGTTTCCTTTTGCTGTCTTTCGACGCAGCCTCGGGGAGGCACAGGTGTTTCATCGCCCCTCTCTGCTTGTCCTTAGTGGCCGAAGAGGCGGAGGAAGAGGCGGAGGGTTTTTTCACCGGGGAAGTAGTGGTGCTGTCCGGGACTCTTTTCAGCAGACACAGGTCTATGTGCACCACCAGGTTCCTCAGCCCTCTTTGGGAAGGCGCTGTAGCTTGTTCGCTCCGCCCAAACGGCACCAGGGTGTAGAGCTTCTGCCCCCCCTCACCTGGGTGACCTGCGGTGGGCTGCACCACCTTCGGCCTGTCACCCTCCGACCTGCCTCCTCTCTGGGGGAGTTTCCTGTGAGAGGTGGAGTCTGCTTGGACTTTAGTGATGGGAGCCTGATGTTCAGACTCAGACTCAGAATTGGAAGAGGAGGAGGAGTATACTTTGTGAGGAGATGGGGAACGGGATGGAGGCGGTGATAACTCCCTCTCTTCCTCACTTCTTCCTCCCTTGTTTGTCCTGTGTGAGTAGTCCTGATGTCGTTGTTGCGTGGTATTTGTGGGCACTCTGTGTTTGGTTTGCCATTCGCGTCGTTGTTGCTGCTCTCTCCTCCTCCTGTTTTCCCCTCTTTCCTCTCTCCTACTCTCTATCACTATCACCTCCTCTTCCTCCTCCTCTTCTTCAGCTGAACTGTGGATCCAGGGACGTCTCAGTAGCTGCTCCTCCGCCAGCCTCCTGTCTTCCTTTCTCTCCTGTTTCCCTTGCTTTTGTTCCCGATGTCTGTCCTCTTTTCTCTCGTGTTTTCTCCCCTCAGCTTGGCTCAAATGATCTCCTCTGTGCTCCACCGCCTGATCCTTACACTGAGCTTTCTTCTGCGTTGGTTTTGTTTGGTTAACATGCACAGGAGCTGGGGCCTCTGAGGACTTGGCTCTTGGTTTTATGCTCGGATTTGATCTAGAGTTTAACCCAGTAGTGGGATTAGTAGCAGCTTTAGAGGTAGATTGGGAATGAGAACTGTGACCAGAGTTGGTTTCACGACTTCCGGGGGCTAAGTGCTTTGCTGTTGTGGTGCTATGTTGCAAGCTAGACTGAAACGAAGGCCTGGGCTTGTGGCTGGATTTGTGGTTGGATCTACTACCCTGAGTTTGTTCAAAATGAGACGTGTGTTTGGCTTTGGGAGCCTCGGAAATCTGCTTTAAACTTGGATGCGAGTTCGGCTTGTGTCTAGATTTGTGGCTGTGAATCTGAGAAGTCTTTAGATTGCTTTGCTCTTGCTCCTGCGGAGGTCGAGTCTTTGGCCGGTGCTGATGAAGATGAGTGCTGGTTGTAGGCTTGCTCTTGGTGTCACTGTTAGGCAATGGGGTAATCCATGGCCTGCTTTTCGTCCTGTGGTGATTGGTCGTAAGGCTAGGTTGTGTCGTCTGAACCCCGGGGTAGTGTCGGACCCTGGAAGGAGCAGGTAGGCTCGGACTGGGGCTCCTTGGAGGGTCTCTTGGTATCGGGCTCGGGCTTCGACTGGCTCTAGTGCTCCCACACGGACTGGGGCAAACACTCGGGACCGGACTGGGGATGGGACTGGGTCCCGGGCTCGGGCTGGGACTCGGGCAGGTGCTGGGGAACGGACTGGGGCTCGGGCAGAAGCTGTAACCCGGGCTGAGGTTGTTGTGGCTGTAGTTGAACTGTGGGCTGGGGATAGGGCTCTGGCTGGGGCTGTAATCCCGATCGGTGTCCCAGGACCGGGCTGGAGATGGGGCTCTGTTGTTGGGAAGAGAAGGAAGGCGTCCTGGGATGATCTGGGAAGGATCCTGGTCACTGCTGGTGGATTTTTTCCGGGACTTCTTCAGCCATTTATCCAACTGCCACTGAGCCGCAGGGGGGTGATCAGTCTAAAAAGCAGAGAAGAAGACAGTAACAAATGTCAAATATTAAGTCTGAATAGATTAATATAATAGTGAGGCTTAAAAATCTGATCCAAGTATCTTTATAATAGTAAGAACAGCAACATATATAAAAAAAACAAGGGTCTTTTTACACGTTTTAAGAAAAGAAGAGGTTTGTAATACATTTTAACTAAAGTACGTTAAAAGGAAGGACAATTCTCCAGGAAACTTACCTATGTAATATAATTATTGTGATCATTTTAAAGTCAAAGTTAAGTCATTATAAGTAGAAGTGTAACAAAGCGAAAAAAGGATTACCCAAGTAATGTAAAAGCACCACAACATTCCAGCACATTCCACCCCCTAAAACATGTGTTTTAATGTGGAGGGTCAGAGACATTTAACCATGAGAGGGCTGACACACATCACACACCGCAACATCCTCACTGTGCAACAGAAACATTCAAAACGCACATTACAAACAACGACAATTCAAACTCCAAAAGACAAACCTGGATTATGACTCATGGCTAAAAAGTGGTTGTCTTAAAGTTCCAGTGGACCCTCTTACAATAGTCTACTCACTCGTAGTCCACATCTGTGCTTACAGTCGCTCAACCCCCATCCAATTATGCCAAGTGACTCACTTAATGTTTGCTTAACAACTGGCTTGGTGACTAAAAATGAGACCAGAGGAAGATTTCCACTTAAAAAAAACAAAAGAGGATACTTACGGCCGGAGATCAAACTTCTTTCTCTGTCTCTCTCTCTGGTTCTGTTTTCCTCGTCGCTGACCAGGAACTAAATTAAACCTCTGCTCCTCAAGTCAAACAGTGACCCCCCCCTCCCCACATCCCGCGCCCTCTTTTCCAGAGAAGACACTGCATCTCTTGTACCGTCTCGATCGCCCTCCCTCCTGCTTTTTCTGTCCCTCCCTCTTTCTCTCTCTACTACCTGGAACTCTGCTGCCTCCATAACTCCAACCCCCCTCTCTTGCTCGGGAGACATTTAAACAGTCCACGTAAATGAAAAACACATGGTGTGCACCCCCGCCGCCACAGCAGCTCCACACCCTCCCTCTCTCTACATTGGGGCCCGATGTAGTGCAATGTGTAGTAATACAGTCTGTGTTATACAGGGCTTTCCATTCATAAAAGAGTAGCAGGTTTCCCCTTCATTCCCCACATAGCACAACCCCCACAATGCCCCTTAACTACACCTCAGTATTTTTCTAAGTTAATATGCAAGTAGTGCAGATTCTCTGTGTGTTTTGAAAGCAAAGGTGACTCCAGTTGCAGATGTCAACATGAACTCTGGAGTATTGATGACTTCCACCTCCCGAGGGCTTTCCTCTCTACGACTGGGCCTGTTGACATGACACCCAGGCCCTAATTCCCAAAGCTACCTCACCCTCCTCCTCCAACTCTCTAAATCACATGCATTCCTCATTCCTCCGTCCCTCTCCACACCTGCCGTCAACCGCCTCGAGGCCACCGCTCCCTGCAGAGAATTCAACCAGAGGAAGACACAGATAAGGATAAAGGAGATAAAGGGGAGGCTCAGTGGTGGTACCTCTGTGTTGTTGCAGGGTGGAGGGGATGCAGGGTCTGGGTGAGGGTCCGGGCTCCGGCTGCGGGAGTGAAGGCTGCTGCTGCTGCTGCTGCTGCTGCACGACTCTGCGCTGGAGTCCGAGCCTGAAGAGTCAGAGCTGGAATGTCTCACCCTCCTGCCATGTGTGTGTGCTCGATGTGCTGACAGGCTGTCCGTCAACACACACACAAACACACGAGAGGGGTCAGCGTTCGTACACAGCCACACACACAGACAGTTAGTCACACAGTTTTACAGACAAACATCCAGAGGTTATATCCTTGTAATTGAGTACCTGTGTCCGTCCCAGGGAGCAGCTGACTCATGAGTTGCCTTCAGGAACACACAAAAAAGAAACTAGTCATCCAGCAGTTTAGGGAACAGTTTGCTTCTATTGATGTGTTTCCTTATCCTCATATGATAAGTAGCAAGTACGCAAACAGTTGCAGCAGTTTTGTCAATCTGCGTATGGGTGTGTTTGCACGTCATTAAACAAAACAAGAAAAGCAGGAAGCCGTGTGATAAGTCATTATCATAATTTTTCACTTTCTCTTTCTGTTCCCACTCTCTACCATTGTCTGCCAGCCTACTCCAGGGAGAACAATGCATGGAGATATGTCCAGCTTACTGTAAGTATAACTACTTAGTTAGTTATTTTCATTCATGCAAAACATCTGGCCCATCCTGTTTTGCAGAGACTTTAGAAGGCATGTCACAATAACTACTTTTGTTGAACAATATATTGCCTCAAAAATGATTGCAATCAAATATGTTATCGTCATTTTAAGACCATTTCATGATAATATAATAGCATAATAATGCAAGTAACCTTTTAAAGAGTAATTAAATGCTTAATCTCCAGACATTTGAATATGAATGTGAAAACAATACTAAATCAATCAATATAAATAAAATATACAACACATTACACAAACAACCAAATGTACTCTTGGGTACTGTAAACATTGCACTAAAACGTTGGCACTGAGGTATATAGGGCTGCACAGTGCACCCAAGTCTTACAGTATAATGGCAGGGAAAACCCTGCAGCTTGAGTATATTTGTATATAAATTATGTAAATCTATGCATATAAATCCTACGATAAGTCAATAATGTCATTATTATTCTTTAAGTAATGTCAACCGCAATTTCAGTCTTTGCGACAAATTCACATTTATAAAAATCAACTCCTTACTAACTTGTATTATTTACCATTACACAAATATGTGGCAATAGAGAAGTAGTATCAACAAAGCCCTTTAAAGGTCACCTACCCTTTGAGTGTCATCTTCATCACTGCTCAGCTTCAGGTCATTCACAAGCATGCTGCAAGCAAAGAAACACACAGATGGTAAGATCATTAAATTGACCTATAACGTAACACTTAGCAATGAAGATTAATGCTATAAGAAAGTGTCATTATAGTCAAATACTGAATATCTTGTTTGGTATGAGCTTCCTAATGCACTAATCTATTGTTTTTGTTTTGTGGATCAATGTAACTCAACACAATCAAGTTGGATTTGTGAAAAAACGTCTCCTAAATGAAGTGAAAATGTTATGCTAACAAAGGCTGTGTGGTAATGTGTGGTAATGTGTGATAATGTGCGTCACGCAGTGGGTCTACAACAGTGAACATGTGTTTCACAGCAAAAAGAGGAAGTGAAGAGGTAACAAACGGGAGCACATCGCTCTCAACTGACAGCTCTCAGGAATGTGAGCCGACCTCTGACCTGACCTTTGTGATGTTGCCTGAAACACTGTGATGACCCACTCTGCGTGTGTATCACCTTCACTCTCATTAATGCTTCTCCCTGAGGCTGTACACACCATTGTATTCATGATTTGCATCTGATTTTACAAAAGTAACTGAGAAGAGAAGTTATGTGTGATGTATTATATCGTCTGTGTTTGATGACCCTCGGTGGATCATGTTTCCTCATTACCCACTTACGATTTGTGAGGTGCCACACGAGGGTGATGGGTCACTCGAAGCTGCACATCCCCCCGACCTCACAGAGAGAGAGAGAAACCATATTTAAAACCAGGCGACAAAAATATATTCAAAGAGAGCCAAATGTAAATTATTGCACATCTCAGACAAGCAAAAGTATCAGCACATACTTTGTCTTTGTTGTGCAGTCGGTAGTTTTGCTTCCTTTGGATAGAAGGAGAAAAATATAGTTAGCAAAACCCTCTATTTACATGCCTTAAAAAGTACTTCCAGATTTATCGTTGCACTATATAATAAGACTGTTGGATGCTAATGAACAGTTAAAAAAGGATAAGAAATCTATACAGCAGAACTAAAGATATCCCCCTTTTCATTCCATGCATTCTTCTTCCATGTCAACACCTGGTGCCTACATTACCCAGAATGCAACTGATTGCAGACTTCAAAGATTACATTACATTACATGTCACTTGTTAGACGCTTTTATCCAAAGCGACTTACATACTCAATACTGTGGACAATCCCCACAGGAGCAATTTGGGGTGAAGTGTCTTGCCCAGGGACACAACGACATGCTGACTGCAGTGGGGTTTGAACCTGTGACCCCCTGATCCGAACACCAACGCACAACTCACTGCACCACACGCCTCAGGGTGTGTTTTGCTAATGTAGGACCTACAGTATTAAATGAGACACTCCATAATATAGGCTATCACCCCACTGGATTATGCACACACTGTAGAAAACAGAACACTTTAAACATGTATTAAAAGCCTCCATGCAACAAAGAAGAAGGAATTGCTAGAAAATACATAAGAGAAAGTGTACAATGTTTTAAACAATTTGTTAAGAGCAACCAGTTTAACAGAGGGATACCAGTTTTGTTTATGTTTTTGTTCCTGTCAACCTACTGCTCCACACTCCAGTCCATTAGGTGGCGCTAATGCAGCTAATGTATGGTTCTAAACTGCCAATTAACCTAAAAAAAGAAGAAGAGGAAGAAGTTATGCTACTAGCAGCTAATGTAGCCTCGAGATGCTAACCTGCAGCAGAGATGAGGAGGAGCAGGATACATAAAGCAGGTAAGCTCTCTTATTTCTACTTCCAGTCCACCAGATTGTTTTCATTTCCAAACTCTGCCAAAACCAACACTGACTCAAGAGTGAATCAATTTATCAGACATGTATATCCCACTGGAGCCACAAAACAACTTTTTTCACAAAGGCAGTAGAATCCCAAGACCTGTGAGCAGTCCTTAAAAAGGTAGGAGTTTCCCTTTTAATTATCCAAGATAAACACACATACCTTAGGGTTGTAGAGGATGTGTTGGGCCTGGTCTCCCCCTAAGGCATGCTGGGACGTCCAGGACTGAGTCATGTCCTGTGCAGAAGAAAGAGAGGTCAAAGGTGAGTTGTGAGATGCCACTGTGATTGATGTTCCTCACATGCAGGAACTCCAGGCTTCCTAAATCTCGAACTATCTTCATTTCTCCTTCATATAGGATCAACTTATGTCTGTACAGTGCAGAGAGCCTCAGCTGACTGCTGTTATCAGAGCTGCTCCCCCCCACCAGGGGGAGTGTGACGGGCTGTAAATAAAGGTCAGTGTCTGGATGTGTGTTATGGTTGCTGTGGGACAGTGCACTGTGCAGCTGTGTCAAGATTTGTGTGTAAGATTTTTGTTTTCTTTTTGTTTGGTCTCCACCATCTTTTTTTCCAGGTATTTCAAGTGTCTTCAATATTTTTGTAAGTATTTTTTATGTTTGACAGCTATTTTGGAAAGTAGATCTGTGAGCAACTTATACACTGGCTTTATTTGATCTGTTAGTGAACAGATTAGCGCTGAACATATGATGATATTAACTTGTGCGTGATTATGAATTCCTAGAGGACTGGTTTAAGCAGACTGTCAAGTCACTTTTTCAAAGGCGGCATTTCAAAAGGGGTAAAATCAGAAACCAAGACCGCTAGTCAAAGCAATTATTGCATGTTGGGCGGGGAATTGAACAGTAATGACGTCAGGTGTCTCTTGCCACAAAAGGCAATCATTACTAACCAGTTCAACTAGTTAAAATCAGAGTCAAATTGAAGGGTACAACTCCCAACGGAAGAACATACTGAAGCACATTGGAGAAGGATATTATGGACAACTTATTATGGGGATATTTAATAGTTTGAAAAAGGCTCAGAACCTATTAACCTTGTAAGAAACACTAGAAGAGTATCTGCTGAGTCGCCTTTCAGTCCACAGGTCCATTGTTGTTGTGCCTAAACAACTAAGTGATATGTTAACTAATTCAAAGACCAGATTAGTCAAACTGGAAAGTCCCTGGGAACAATAGATTAAATGTGAAGGTTTTATTGCTTTTTCTTTTTTAAATGGATACTGTAACCTATAGGTGGTGCTACAGCAGAATGATTACATGTTATGGCCATTACATTATCGTCACAAGTCTTTTTTGCAAACTCTTTCTTTAACAAATACAGGATATGCCTAATATTCACAAATACAATTAGGAATTCTCCAAAAAAGGCTGCCATGTCTCTCATTGTTGATATAAAATATTTATATATGAAGGGGGATAATGTAGGCTCAGCAGAGGTTTGAATGCTTTGAGCACCTTAACAACATAATATTTACTCAAACATGATGAATTGAAAATGATGAGTACACATGATGAGTAATCATTTAATAGAGAAGTTTAAAATGATGATTACACACCTGGACTATTAGCAAAATTGACCCTATTTCCTTTTTATTCTCACTGCACAGTACATGAGTGAAGCCGCTGCATGGAGCGAGCTCAGTTTCAGTGTCTTAGCTCCGGCTCTGATTATAATCTCGGCTGATTAGACTGCCCGCAGTCACTCTCAGACAAACCAGGCCTCATGGATGCTGACAAAAACAGCCTGATTTTTTTGTGTGTGTGTGTGTGTGTGTGTGTGTGTGTGTGTGTGTGTGTGTGTGTGTGTGTGTGTGTGTGTGTGTGTGTGTGTGTGTGTGTGTGTGTGTGTGTGTGTGTGTGTGTGTGTGTGTGTGTGTGTGTGTGTGTGTGTGTGTGTGTGTGTGTGGTGGGTGTGTGTGTGTGTGTGTGTGGTGTGTGTGTGTGTGTGTGTGTGTGTGTGTGTGTGTGTGTGTGTGTGTGTGTGGGTGTGTGTGTGTGTGTGTGTGTGTGTGTGTGTTGTGTGTGTGTGTGTGTGTGTGTGTGTGTGTGTGTGTGTGTGTGTGTGTGTGTGTGTGTGTGTGTGTGTGTGTGTGTGTGTGTGTGTGTGTGTGTGTGTGTGTGTGTGTGTGTGTGTGTGTGTGTCGCTCTTTCCCAAGCCTCCTTTGAAATCACTCTGTTTGAATGCTAAATATAAAGCTATAGCTAGAAGCTGGTTAGCTTAGCTAATCAGAAGTCACAGTGTCTGGTCTACATGTAAAACTACAACGGGTAATTCCACATCTAAGGTAATTACAAAAAACTGAATATAACCTGCAAATGTAAAGAAAATTAGCAACTTTAGAAGTACTTGTAGGCAGTAGGACGCAACAATAAGTAGAGTAATTGATGACAGTAAACGATTTAGTTATTCGATTATTTTTCCCCGTATTCTTTCCTATAAAAAAAAATTGCTTTTTTGGCCTCTTAAACGTGGGGATTTCCTGATTTGTTCCTGTTTATATCGTATTAAAGTGAATATCTTTGGGTTTTGGACTGAAAAAACAAGACATTTAAACACAACACCTTGGACTTAGACAGACTGACATTTTTCACTTTTTCGGACATTATTTAAACCAACAATGAAATGATAAATCTGAGAAATAAACAAATAATGATAATCATTATAAGTAAGACTCACAGCTGTAGGTTGTTTGTTCATTGGCTATTTATATCTACAGACGTAAGAGTGGTATCCGTGTTCCTTTCAAACTCTCGGTAAGAAAGCACATAAGCGTATTTCTCAAAATGTCAAACTATTGCTTTAACTCCTCTGGGACTCAGTCATTTAAATCCAAAGACGCTCCTGAGATGACACGTTTTTATGAACCTGGCAGGTGACTCAAAAGCGTTTCTTCCTCCTCTTCACTCAGCAGTAAACCCTGGAGGGAAAGTGTTTCCTATCGTGCTCATCCTTTCACTTCATTATCTCTCCTCCCTCAGTCACCAAGGACACCAGCCCCTCTCCTCCTCCAACAACAACAAGGTCTCCCAGGTGGAGCGTTATGTGTTGCTATCTTCCTCCCTCCCTTCTCCACCACACGTTTGTATCTTCCTCCTCCGCTCATCCTACCTGTCCCACGCTGGTGACAGGACACAATAATCATTGCATTGTAAAACCTCTGACATAAAAGCAAAAAAAGGACCTTGAGACCTCGAAAGACTTCAGTAGCGGATCAACATATCTTTAGTTGCAGCTTTTCATAGTGCTAGTGTTTCCTCCTCTGAGCAACAATGCTGCAATTATTATATTCAGTGACTCAAATGGATCAAAACTGGAAAAACATCTAAAGAAATCCAAATAAAAAAACAAAAAACGTTCCCAACAATATGGCTACTTTTAATGAGGGAATGAGGGATTAATCTGAATTTGCACATGTTCAAAGTAATTTACCGCTGCTGTGATTATACTTTTTAAATAATGAATAAAAGCAAACTTCAAAGCCAAGCAATGAATGGATAGTAGCCAAATGTCTTACCTCCAGAATATCTTTGGCACAGATGATGTGTTGGCTTCTTGTTACCTGTGCAACAAAATAAGTAGGTGACGTTTAATAAGGAGAACGTCACAGGAAGTCAGGATTGACAGGTGATGAGAGTGAGTATCGTGACACTTCAGAATAACAGACACAAGTCATCAACTATAGACACGATTATGGGAGAAATGTTGTGCACACAATCCATATTTCAGCATGTAAATTACAGTAAAGTGCAGATGTCCACATGTGAACCAGAGTTCGGAAAAGGGACCACATTACTCCTGTTCTGGCTGCCTTACACTGGCTCCCTATAGAACACAGGATAGAATTTAAAAGTATTCTTCTCGCCTACAAAGCCCTTAATGGGCAGGCGCCATCTTACCTTAAATAAATCCTTATACCCTACTGTCCTACTAGGGCATTGCGTTCCAAGAATTGGGTTGTTGGTTTTTCCTAGAGTTTTTAAAAGTGCAATGGGAGCGAGGGCCTTTTCTTATCAAGCTCCACTTTTGTGGAATCAGCTTCCAGTTTGTGTTCGGGCGGCAGACACCCTATCCGTTTTTAAGAGTGCGCTTAAGACCTTCCTTTTTGATAAAGCTTATAGTTAGGGCTGATTAGATTCAGCCCCTAGTTTTGCTGCTATAGGCTTAGACTGTCGGGGGACACCTTACTTCTTCCTTCTCTCTGTCTGTACCTGTGTACTCTCATGTTCCGAATAACCCAGCTTCCCCCAAATGTCTTTTTGGTGTCTATCTACGCCGGGATCCTGAGTCGTGGCTGATCCTGTTGCTGCGGTCATGTGTCCTGGATCCTGAGTCATGTGTCCTGGATCCTGCAACCTGAGTCCTGGATCCGGAGTCCGGAGTCCTGAGTCCTGGACTTCGAGTCGTGGCTGAACCTGTCTCTGCGGTCCTGCCTGACTCTCATCATACTACTTCCCTGATGGCTCCCACAGGATTGTTGACATCCTCGTGGATTCATCTTCTTATTATAGACACATGCATTTCCAAACATTTGGTCTACCTATGCTGTAAAATGTATTATCTTTTTGATTTACACACGGCATCTATTGCACGTCTGTCCGTCCTGAGAGAGGGATCCCTCCTCTGTTGCTCTCCCTGCGGTTTCTCCCATTTTCCCCTTTAAACTGTGGGGTTTTTCCTTTTTTGGAAGTTTTCCCTTGTACGATGTGAGGGTCTAAGGACAGAGGGTGTCGTGTTGTCATACTGATATTCTGTACAAACTGTGAAGTCCACTGAGACAATGTAACATTTGTGATATTGGGCTATATAAATAAACATTGATTGATCGATTGATGTGCTGTAGGTCCTAGACTCATTCATTTATTTCATCCTAAATTCCTCAAGATGGAAACTTCTCTAAAGGAAGATAACACCTACATAGACACTGATCCTCTCTGCCTTTTGTTTCCCACCTTTTTGCTGCAAAATCGTACAACTCTGTGTCGCACTTTACTATAATCCTTAAAGTCTCCCACACATACAGAGTAATTGTGAGAGTTAAGAGGAGGTTGAAGTGTGTTGATGACTCACATCTTAGAAATCACAGCTGCAGATGATCAGACGGATGCTGATTCCGTTGCAAGGAACTTTCTGTTTCCATCCGTGTTAGGCAACCCCCGCTCTCTCTCCCTCCCCCCACGTTTTCTCCCCTTTTTCACAATTCAGCTCACAATTCAAATTCATCTCTGACTCTTAAGCCTCTTACACACCAAACTGACACCAAAGAACACCAAAGCTGAGACCAATGTTGCTCAGGCATAAAGATAAAAGATAAATACTTTACACAACTGTGTGTGCATCTGCTGGTGCTTTATGTATGTGGGAGTGTGTTTCATTTTGATTCTGAGTTTTGTGTGAAAACAGATTAACCTGCACAAATGAGTACCGAAACATGTTTTCCTTTTAATTCCTCTTCCAAAATTATACTTGCCATGTTTGGTTTTTAGTTGAGCTTTAATAGTTCTGTATTTCTTCATTGATCTCATCTACTGAATATTGTATTTCTATACTTTCTTTTAAACATTTAATATATTTAAGATTCCTTTATATTGGTGATTTGCTCCTTTTGTTATGCCCCACTCTGTCTTCTGTGCAGCATAAGTATGCACAGTAGAAAATGTGTGTAGTGCAGTGTGCTTTTGTGTGTGAAACTGTCTCCTCTTGTATGCATGACTCACTAAGGTCAGTGTCTGAGTGGCTGGACTCTTAGCCTGCGGATAGAAAACAGTATGTGTGTAAAATACTGTCGGATTATAACAGCCCCAAGACAGTTTATGGGGCCGTAGGAGCCAAATAAAAATCATAAGCACAGACAGCCAGTATTTCACCTCCCTGTGGTAATGCATACAAAAAATAAACCTGGCCTGCTTCCTAACTTTACACTCACACGTCCATTAGAATGGATATTATCATGAGCAATGTGTTTCAAATGGCACCGGTCCGCGGGCTACATCTCTGGTGCAATACCCAGATGAGTGAACTCCCCAGGGGCCAAACAAACCACAACCCATCAAAACACCTGCAGAAAGCAGCGTGCAAGCTAAGTACACTACCAGCCACCTGTTGCATTCTTAAAATATCAGCAATTACTGAAGTCATGCTCATTTGCAGCTTCTATTCAGCTATTTCATCTGTTTTACAGGCTTTTAAGAAACATCTTAAAACACTTTAAGATTGCAATCTCTATGAACATGGCAGGATCACAAAATGCACTACTGAGCAGGAATTATCCTTTTCAAAGTACCATTACTGAAGTCAAGCTAATTCTATTCATCTCTGTTAAGTGCTTTTAAGACAAATCTGAAAACACTTTTAAATAGCAATCTTTATGAACATAGCAGCAGCAGAAAATGCACTTCTCTCCATGGATCATCATCTGATTTTATGCAGTATTCTCTAGAAAACGTAACATTTTATGACTTCAAACATGCATTTACTGTATCTAAAAACAATCCCAAGACTTATTAAAGATGCTTTATAAGTAGGCTTAAATCCACACTCCATGCACTCTCCATCTCTCTCTCTCTCACCTGAGAATATGCGCATCTGATCAGAAAACAGACGATGGAAAGTTTCCCTTTGTCGCCGAGGACAGTAGGCATGGTTCCGGGATAGTCAGCGCTCTCCTCCGGGGTCCATGCCAGTGAGGACTCGCTGATAGCAGCGGCAGCGGTGCCTCTCCTCGCTGCTGGAGAATGTGTGTGTATGTGTGTGTGTGTCACTGGGTGAGACAGAGGGGGAGATGTAGGCGGGCCGGTAACGTCAGAGATGACACACGCGGGGATATCACGACTCAGGACAGCCAGTGGAGGTTGGTCACTTCTTTATAAAGCCATATTTCTGATGTCAGAGCTGCTAAATATACAAGACAATGTGTGAATTAGTAAGTTTTGTGACATCCAGTGTATTTACAGACGATGCTATGAATTATGGGATCCATAAATCAGCATTTATACTAAATAGATATGCTTTTGGCCACTAGGGGGCATCACAAGAGGCTGTAAGCAACATTGACATGATTAATGCTAATACATGCTAACAAGCAGCTATAAATGACAGACATTTCAACATTAACATACATAAATAATTATAAAAATGTTTCACTTTCTTCTTTTTCATAGCTTTTGAAGTCCTCCTCGACTCATAAGAAAAATACTCTTGCTTTCTAGCTGCTAGCCTACCATAAATATTAGCCAGCTAGCATATTGGCTAATTAGCCCTGTCTATTGTTTAAATGGCAGTTAACGTTGGCAAACAATTGGTTTTTCAGAGCTTTCCCCCTAGATAAGGTATAGAACATAGCAAGGTATTCACCGTCAGTCAGAATCATTACTTGTTTTTTTCACCGTCTTTATGATGAGAGTCTAAAGATAAATCAGTATCATCATATATAGTCTCCAAGTCAGCCACATTATATTGAGTAAAATATTAAAATTACGACGCAAACAGATTTATTTTATTGTAAACTTTACATCCAAAGGGCGCCACATTATCCTTATATCAAAATGTGTCATATTTAAAGATACACACAAAGTAAAAATATAACATTTTCATAGTTAAGAAAGGAATATAGTATAACATTTCATGTAAAGCCATATGGATAAATAGGATAACAGCATAACATAAAACAGTTCAGTCACTGAGAGCATATTATGGGCCAATGATAACATCTGATCATCCTTCCTTCCTGTGCCTTGGCCTTGTGAGCTTGTGTCATCCATTTATTATTCTCTGTAATACATTCTGGCCTGTGAAGTGGCTCTGGATTGCATGGATTTTGCCTTGTCATGATAAAATATGAGCTGTCTTCCCATCGCAGATAGCTTCGGGGGCAGGCGGGGAGAAAAGGAAGAGACAGACACAAAGAGCTGGATATATTATAGCATTGACTGCATTAATTTGAAGGACCAACGTTGACACACCACGTTCCTCATAACCATTTATCCTCTGAAACAGAAGCATGTTCTTTAGAAAAACTGTATTTTTATTTATATTTGTATTTTGGTTTGCGCTGCATGTCCTTGAGTACACAGTGTCCCTTATTTGTTTATGGCATCTGTCAAAGACTTAACTCAGGGTCAGACCCAGTAAAAACAAGTCTTTTGTTTATTTTCACAACACTTTTTCATGGTTTTGACATCCTAACGACAGAAATTAGAGGAGTGTACTGCACACAGTGTAATAAATGAGAGATGTGTGACCCCCTTTATCTTTTAGTTCTGGTTAATTTATCTGCATCTATTAATATGTATTACTTCAGTCAGTGTGTGTTTGTGGGGGATTGCAGAGAAGTTTGTATGTGTTTTTTTGTTTAAAAGGGGAGTTGTATTCACTCTGTTTGTTGTGCTTGGCTTGAGGAAGTGTAGATAGATACTTCATTCCTCCCCTGGGGGAAATTTGCATGTTTCAGCAGCAGTGAATGCAGTCGAAGAACTAGAACATACAAGATGAGTCCTTCAAAAACAACAAACATGTTATGAAGAAGAAGAAAACACAATTTAATTAATTAAATTGATTATTAAGGATCAACAAACATGATTTAAAAACATTAATAACTTAAAGGTGGGGTATGTAATTTTGGAGAAACCAGCTCGAGTGCGCTAGAATTTGAAAATACACAACCGGAAAAAATCTGCCACTTCCTTATAGAGCCCCTCCTCCAACACACACAAACGTGCACATGATCAATGAGGGCACGAGATAAGTTTGTGCACAGATGGAAGGCTGACAGGCAGATAGGCCATCCAGTTATTTTAGCCGGGCCGGCTCAGATGATTGGTCGTGCTTTTTACAGTACTACGGCTTCCACAGATTACATTTTTTTTATGTATTTATTGTCAAAGCATTTAATGTATTCATTGCTATCGGGATGTTAAGAGCATTCCATGGAATATAACAAAAAGTGTTTCTGAAATAAATTACATACCCCACCTTTAATGCACTCACAAGTTTTAGGCAAAAATCCTAAAAGCAGATAATGAAATAGGGATGTGACAACTATTAATGGGAATTTAGGAACATGCTGAAGCTGAAAAGAGACCCTGAGGTAGAAGATGGTTTTTGTTTTTAGATGAGTCAGAAGAATTTGAATATTTCCGTCTTCATGCTCCAATGATGGTGTGAGAGTGAACACTACTTTATAACGTCTGCCCAAACTGACACAGTCCTCCCTTTTTGAGAGGCTTAGGTGCCAATAGCGGGGAATAAAATGGGTGCTTTATTTTTTTTTTTCAAGTTGTGTGACAGAAAATTATTCTGCAGCAACTTTATATTATCAATGAATAAGTTGTTTAGGCAAAAACGACAAACATTTGCTACTGTAGTTCCAGCCTGTCGAGTATGAAGATGTTATGCTTTTCTTTTTTAAACATGAAAGTAAGAAAGTGTTATCCTTCATATTACATGCATTAAAAGCTGCAGAAAATGTAAACATATGTTGTAATGCTCTCCACTACAAAACCATCACAAACTATGACCTCTCAATGCTTAAACATGTTATTGAATTCACACCTTATGTCGAAAAAACTAGGTATCACAAAAGTAGACTTTTTGGCAGAGCAGTTTCATTGACTTTGCTAAATTGCATATGGATATTTTTCCATAGTATATTGGACTGTATTATTGTAATATGTAGGATGACCTTATATATAACCCATCTTTTATTTTATTTTTGTTATACCTTTGTTATTTACGTTCTCAGTGTTATTGATTTGATTTCTATACGTTTTGTTTTTCATATTCTCATGTTGAATTTCTTGGATTTGAGACCTTCTACATGTTGTGACACCTTGTTAAAGAAACTGTTCATCTAAATTGGAGTACTAATGGATGTAAAGGGGAATGTGAGAAAATAACTAATAAAGAATAAATAAAAATAAAGAATTTGCTAAATTGCACATTTGTGTTTAATAACATAGTTTGTTGCGTTGCACAGCATGTGGTCCTGACATTATAGAAACTTCTGTAAAATTCTGTCTGTGAATCTTTCTGTTTTCTTTCGCACTTCGAGGTAAAGACAAGAGAGAAGCAACAGTGTTTTTCCTGTGATGAAAGTAGGGATGAACTGGGAATGGAGGGATGATAAATGCCTGGGGCCGCTCTCCGCTGCCTCACAGTAGCACCCTTGGTTACAGACCCATGGCGACTCAAAGGCACAACAGCATCCCTCGACGCTTCCTGTTTAGAAACAGGACTGGCCTCAAGAGTCAGCCTTCCTGACAACACTCTCCCTCTTTCTGTCTCTCACTCCCTCTCTCTCTCTCACACAGAGTTAAACGAAGAAGATGGAGATGAAGAGGAGTTGGGAACGAGCTCAGGCTGTTTCCTCTCTCTGCAGCTTGCTCCGGTTACCATGGAGATTCCAGATTCCTGCAGGTAGAGAAAAAGGTAAAAGAAATCGTTACCACTTTAAAATGAGACATATGTTTACAGGCTTAAATATTAGCTCCAATGTATGGCTTTTTTAATAGATATATAGTAATAATGTACCATTGTTTTATAGATATTGTTAAGGCCTTTAATGAGAACTACTTGCGTGTTGCCAGATAGTGAAAAAATACCTCAGATTGGTTTAAAAAAAAAAAAAAAATGGTTACGGTGGGAATCAGCCGAAGCACCACGATATTATCATGGTGCAATCTGATAAACGTTTTATTATATACTAAGTATTGTATTAACAAATATTGCAATTGGAAAGCTTTTCTAAATTGTGAATTATGCAATTTTATCTAAACGTTTTCAGTCTGTTCATCAAACTTCAATTATTATTTTTGCAACAAAAGGGGAATGTCAAGAAGGCAAGAACCATCACTCATATTAAAATAATGTGACATAAATGTTGAATGCACTTGCACTGAACTGTTTGTGTTACAGTCTACAAACTCCAACTCAACTGAAGACAAACGTCAGGTTTTAAAATGTTCTAATTTAATTTGCAATACTAAAAGTTAATAATTTAAATACATTATCAGTGTGCCCTTTTCTTATTACTGTATCCAAAGACTCCTGTTACGGCTTGTCAATGTTTGAATTCTTAGCAATCATTCATATATATTTTATGGATTTAACCCTTAGATGCACGAGTGACTGGACCCTACACTCTCCCATAAGTGGGTCAAAAAGGACCCGTATTAGAATAATATGTGTTTTTATGCCATTTTTGTCATTTTGGTTAAGAAAAATCACTTGTATAATATTTAGTATTATATTTTGGTTCACACTAGAAATATTTTATATTTAATTTTTCACTATTTATAATTTTAGACATTTTTTTTACATTTTGAAAAAAAACGTTTTGAACATATTGATGCAAAGATCTCCGCTATTCTGAGACCCTCACAGTATTCCAGTCCCTTTTCAAAACTCATCTCTTCTCCTCTGTCTACTCATAGCCCCCCCCCCATCAATCCATGCTGGTTGATCAAGTTTGATAGTCCTATACCCCCCACCCTAACCTTCCCTTATATTGTAAAGCGATTTTGAGTCCTATAAAAATATAATGTATTATTATTATTATTATACTGACATATTATACTGACATACTGATATCAGATCTTGCTGTGTAAAATAATCTTCCTGAGAGGTGTCACATGTGATGTAGTCTGTGTGGTCCACAGTGAATGTATTCCTGAGCCACAGGTGATAAGAATCAAAGGTTCCCATAGGATTCCATAGGAAATGCATGCGGGTCATTTTTGACCCACTTATGGAAGCTTGGGGTAGTAATACAAAAACTACAATTTCTTAAAATGTATCAAATGTAAATTTAAAATTTGAATGGCATGATATCCAAAACATGTTTTTTGAGGAATAGCTGGAATATGAAATTATAAAAAAATGTAATTACAAAGATACTTCAAGAAAACCACCTCACCGGGTCAAAAAATACCCACTTATGCATCTAAGGGTTAAGAAGTAATATATGTAAGTGTGCAGTGAGAGATTTGGCCACATCGAGGTGCAATATGACCCTGGTAGGTCCTGATTATGAGATCAGTTCAGTATACAGTGAGCAGAGAGCCCCACCCTGTGGCCAAAGTGAGAAGTGAAGCTTTACTCTAGTACACTGCCAGGTCCTGCATTATTGTGACATGTATCATAAATGTTTTATTCTTCACTTTGCCTCAGGACAAACACAATTAGAGGACTCCATTAGGTATTCTTGTTAAATAACACCTCCTCAACATGCACTCACACACACGAAGGCTATGCAAAAATGATGATGAGCTGCAATATGATGATTTGTTAGGTCTTCATTAACACCTATTTTCACAATTGATCAATCTGTAGATTATTTAAGTCAATAAAAAGTCAGAACATAGTCAAATAATGCTGGTATCACTTTCTCTGAGCCCATGTTGACGTATTGCTTGTCTTGTCCAACCAATAGTCCAAAGCTCAGATATATGTTTACTATCATATCAGACATAAAAGCAACACATCATTACATTGAGAAGCTGCAAGACACATTTTTCTTTCTCAGATTGTCTGAATTGAAGGATCAAGGTGCAGGGTGTAAAACATATACAGTTTTAAACAAATTTCACAATTTATTTTTAATGATCTCTCAGACTTATCCTGGGGTAGATTTAGACAATATGAAAAATGTTTAAACATCAATTAATTATTTTCTGGTTAAAATAATTGTATCTTTACCTGAATCCAGACTAAATGTGAATAGAGTTTCAATGTTGAAGCTTGTGCTGTGACTTCTGTTCTTAGCTCTTTATAATATGATGATAATGTTTCTTTTGCATTATGTGTTATGATTTATGTAAAGCACTTTGAATTACCTTATTGTTTCAAATAAATAAACCTGCCTTTATTTATTTGCCCAGCTGCTTCCCCTATTGGATCGAGGCCTGTCCAACACACTGCAGCTCACAACAGCCTGCAGCGTTGTTCTAATAAACGGATAATAAAAAGCAGCAGGATATGCAAAGCCACACATAGAAAAGCCTTTTCATGTCATGCTGCTGAAGTGCACTAACGACTGCCTGGCCTGGCCTGTCCCTCCTGTGTGATGTCATCCAATGGATGAGTGTGGCTGGCGGCTGCGATGCGCATGTATGCAGTCCACTGCCTCATCACACACAACCGCACTTGACAGCTTGCCAGGTTAGAGGGGGGAAAAACACAGGGAGGAAACCAGACCTGCTGAATATCCACCAGCCAGCCGTCATCTACAGGATTCCTCATCGACATCTCATGCATCCTTCTTTCGGATTAATTATGTTTCTGTTGTAACGCACAGATGACAGCGTAACCGGGGCGGTAAGCTGCTCAGATACCCCCAGAAACACGGCTCGCTTTGTGTGCATAGGATCTGTTGTTGTGACTGGACATGAATTCTGCGGAACAGACGGTTACATGGCTGATCACGCTCGGGGTGCTGGAGTCTCCGAAGAAGACCATCTCGGATCCTGAGGCTTTTCTGCAGACCTCCCTGAAAGATGGGGTGGTGTTGTGCAGGCTGCTGGAGCGCCTCAGCCCGGGCTCCACGGAGAAAGTAAGGGACAATAACACACAAACACACACTCACACACAAACGCTCCCCCGTCGGCGTGTCTACCCGGATCCATGAAACCGACGCGGGTTGTTGTCTGGGCTTCTCTTTCTGCCCACTGGTCCATGAGGCGATTTCTTTTGTAGGTCACGACAGCCCGGGTTATTGTCTGCGAAAAAAAGCCTCTCTATGTTATATGGCTGCACACACACAGTGTGTGTAACAGAAAAAGGGCCGCTGTTTCCACCATCACAGGGAATACATTGATCAAATTCACCAGATCCTCCAGTGGTTTGGTGTCTTTAACGAAGGCCTGGTTTAATATGCTTTTAATGCAGGTTTTACGCACTCAACAGATCTGCAGTAACGTGTGAAGCCCCTGTTTTAAATGCCTCTTTCATCCAGGGCGATGTGGCGTGTATGTCAATGTATTTTGATGCACACTGAGTGACCGCCCGGCCAGGGATGACTAGCCATCTGTACACAGACCCAGCAATAAGAGTGGGCCGCCATTGACTGCAAAGGCGCACAGACAGAGATGGACCCTCTCCCCATTTAAAGACACAGCGCAGTGTTTGTGTCTGTCAATGTAAAGCCAGCTGCCTGAGGGAGGTTTCCTGAAAAGAGGCTCTGCACCTCCACACAGGCAAATGAGGGATTTGCCTGTTAAATAGCAAACTGGTTCCTCCATTTTCCCCTTCTCACTTTCACGATGGGGTGTTGTTTCCTTTTCGAGACATAATCAAATTATGTTTCACACACCAGAGGATTTGATGTAGGCAAAACAAAATAAAAGCCTCTAAAATACTGACAAGAGGAAATATTGTGTAATGGGTGAAAATCAGTGAGGCATAGTCAGCCACTATTACATGTATAATATGTTGCTAATTCATGGCATACATATTGATCTAAATTCTGTTTAATCTGCTGCCATCTCATTTGAGGAGTTTTTTTAATGTCTTGTTCAAACATAACTAAGATTTTCTGAGACACATATAAATGCCTCTCTCCTGTCCCACAACAATATATTTATATTTATTTAGTCACAATACCAATCCAAATCTCTCAGAGAGGACTGCTTTCTGTAACACTTTAATGGATCAAAGTCTCAAACAGAGTCAGACCTCCTGTATTTGTATTACTTTTGGTGAAGATGGGGATATTTGAAAGATTCAAAAATGTAATAGCGTATATTTCAATATATTGCTCAAACACCTTACATAAACACACATTTTTGATAAAAATCTGATAATCTGAACAATTATGAATAATATTGAAAGGGACATTTATAGTGGAGAAATAGGGAAGCGTGTGGCGCAGTGGATAGAGCCTTGGTGTTGGGATCAGGGGATCACAGGTTCAAACCCCTCTGCAGTCAGCATGTCGTTGTGTCCCTGGGCAAGACACTTCACCCCAAATTGCTCCTGTGGGGATTGCCCACAGTATTGAGTATGTAAGTCGCTTTGGATAAAAGCATCTAACAAGTAACATGTAAAAAAAATAATGGTATCAAGGCCCTCTGGTGGACAAGATACAGTATAGTGAGACTTTCTCATTTAAACTCCAACATATCTTTGGCATGTTGGCACTAAAACATCTTACTTATGATGTGGCCTTTACAGCAATATGATATATGTGGGATAAAATTAAAATTAAAGCTGATTTATCGTTTGTGCTCTCAATAATACCACCAGATATCAGTCATAGAGATCTCTGCCTTTTCTCAAATGTACAGGGATTAGATTGCACTCAAGGTGCTCAAAGAGACACTAAATACATTTGGAAAAAATACAGCAATGTCTTTTCCCAGAAATAATGATCCAAAGATGATCCACAAACCTTGTAGTCAGTTTGTACCGAATCACCACGTTGAGGGATGACACCTTCTCTGATGAACTGTAACGTTAGCTTATTTAGGAAAGCTTTTCTTAGTTTGGTAGAAAGAAAACAGTTCCTACATGAAACTCCTCACAACAAGGTCTTTCAATTATCTTGAGTAACCGGGTGATGATTTCTGGAAAGAGACATTGCTGTCAAGGTTTGCAAATAGATTTTGATTGCGCTTTAAGCACCACAAGCTGAGTGCCAGACAGTTACATTATATTCAAGGGAGGCTGAGATTTGTACGGCACATAGCTCCAACACTAAACAATCTATATTGATTAAAAGCAAAGTGGGCAAGAAGACATAGATGTACTTTTGATTTCTGGGTAAACTGGTCCTTTAACATTTGACCCATGCCTCCTGCTATACCCCTAACATTTGCATGTTGAGCTTCTTTAATATTGGTCTTAAATATCTTGGCTACTCATTATTTGTCAGGTCATCTTGTGCCACTCTCTGGCCCAGATGTGACACTCATCTGGTTCTGTTTTTGCTGAGTGAGCAGCAGTGTATGTGGGGGAAAGTTTGAGATGCGGGCCACAGCTGGGTCAGATGTCAGTTACTATCAGGGCAGATATCAGTGTTATGTAGAACAGAGATAATGGATAGCCTACTGGATCCTCCAAATAAGAGGCCTCCTTGCTTCCCTCACTTGCATCCCTTCTTGGCCTTTTAAATTCCTCCCAGTTACCTTTCAAGTAGGGCTGCTCGATTATGGCAACAATCATAATCTCGATTATTAAAAACGATTATCCATTTACTTTGAAAACATCAATTTATTGGAGAAAAAAAATGTGAACAGTATGTTTTTAACAGTTGATTACCCTGAACTTTAAGTATAATTCAACTAAAAAACCAATACAAAAAAAAAAAATTTGAAAAAGAAAATAATAATAATAAAAAAATAATCGTTTTATTTCGATTACGTTGTTTTCGTAATCGTTGCAAGCCATAATCGTAATTGCGATTAAAATATGATTAATTGAGCAGCCCTACTTTCAAGTAAACAATCAGTCAAATGAGTTTATTCACAGTTCGAATCAAGCAAAGGCATAAGACAGAAATGGAGTTATGGTAAAGGATCATCCCTGAACCCATCTGAATCTTCATAGAGAGATTAAAGGACATAATGCTGGGATAGTGGATTCAAGGCAACATTGAAAGACGTCCAAAAGACACTCTTTTGATCACTATATGTTACATGAATTTCACAGCAGGAACATATCTTTAAATTAGGAAACAAGAAAAATAAAAAGAGAAATGTTTAGGCTAGAAAATGGATAATGGTGTGAGTTAAATATGTGAAGAAATGTGGCTAAATTCAAAATAATGAAAAGTGGGAGGAAATACCAATATCAGAAAAAAGAAACCAGAAAAATGCAGTTAGAGGCTTTATCAGAGAAAAGTGGAACAAAAACAAACAGCCCTGCAGTAAAATTGTAATGGAAAACTAAAGTATATTCATCTAAGTGCAGGTTTATTAAGACATAGACATACATGAAATAGCATATTTAATGAGCTGTGTGACACAAAGCCAGATCAAATTCACATAATTGTCACAATGATTTGATAATCTTATCAAGAGCTTTAATGTTATGTTGTTAGGCTTTCATTTGAACTGTGATACAAATAATATACCTAGGCCGACTTAAACATATAAGGTCAAACTAATGCAATCTATTTCTGCTGTAAAACCTACTATAATGGTACTTATCATTTTTCAAAGAGATGTACATTCAACTGTATGTTGATTTGTTGCTTTTTAATGATATTGCCTTATAATAAGATACATATTTTCTCCATTCCACTAATATCAATAAGGCTTAATTTCAGTTTTATCACTTCTTTGTCATTTTGTTGCTTGTTATGGAAACCAGTGCACCCATAGGCCACTCCACCATCAGTGGGGATCCCTATATGTCAACGTCATTTCCCTCTGCACAGCTCCACACTCCACAGCCTCCTCCACTTCCCCGCTGCGGGATCAGCGTCCAGCCTCCCTCAAGCGCGCGCGCGCACACACACACACACACACACACACACACACACACACACACACACACACACACACACACACACACACACACACACACACACACACACTAATGTTGACTAATGCAGAATGCGTGTCGACAGAGAGGAGATACGTGTTTTAAGGCTGATAAACTCACATAAAACCGCAGCGTGAAGAGCAAGAAACCCCGCAGCGTGATCTGGAAGTTTCCCTCTAACCAGCGTTTCCGTCTTTCCAGATCTACCAAGATCCGAAGAACGACGGCGAGTGTCTGAGCAACATAAAGGAGTTTCTGAAGGGCTGCACATCGTTCCGCGTCGAGGTAAGTAGAGCTCTCAGAATAGGGTTTATGTTGTATTTTTACCACACATTTCCTCATGTAACAACACCGGGAGTCGCTGTTTTGAAAATGCACGTTTCAACAATAAACAATGGGTTCATGGGGTGGACGGAGCTCCTGACACCGGGAGGAGGAGGGATCTGCAAGCCGAGAACAATCACCCATCGCCCGGCGGAGAGAGATATGCTCATCCGCTTAGTCTAGGGCGATATATTTTCAAAATTAAACCAAATTCAAATAACTTTAAATGGCGTTACTATTATATTAAAGCCTGACTACATTCACCACTTGGATTCAGAAGCGCCTGCGTAATGTTTTCTAATTAATGCAGAGCTTTGTCCTCGGCGTGGCTTTATTGTCACCACCGGTTCACACTAGCCCGCCTTGTATAAACAGTGTTTTCTCAAGAACAGTATCTGACCATGGTTATACAAGAGGGTATTGTTCTAACATGGTTATCATAGCCTTATTATTACAAAGTGTAAAGTGTAAACAGATTAGGTCCCTTCCTTGTATGGGTTGTATAGACATAGAGTATGTTGGAGTAATGGTACATTTGAATATCTCCATAAGCAAATGGAGGACAGTGTTTCTGTTTAAGGCTGTGTGTTGGCCATTGCATAGAGGGGTCATTGAACTATCCTAGTTTGACAATAAAACTCAGTGTTCCTCAGCAGTGACTCTGCCCACTGAGTCTGCAGCCAGTGAACAAGAGGTGGAGATGGGGTAAGACAGAGCGCTGTCATATTAAGTGTGTGAATGTGAAACATGCCCTTTACGAGTTTACAGACAGCGGAAATGTCAGGGAAGATAAGGACATCAGTTATTACTTTATTGTTTAAAGTGCTCTGTTAGTTTTGGCTCACAGAACCAAAACCTGGCCTCGTTGAGCAATGATCTGCTGTTTTATTGGTAACACATAGTCACATTTCCCATCATAAACACTCCTTTATGTATGTCATGTTGACTTGTGCTTTCACTGGCGGGGATGTTGTACTCAATACCAACATCATTTTCCTATCTCTTTTTGTACACTATTAGATTAGTCAGCAAAGGTACTTACAGCACACATAACACAAGGCACCATTGAAACATACACATTACAATATTCCAAATAATCACGTAGCAGCAATAAGAAATAATTAAAAAAGCACATTTTGTAAAATAGCTATTCTTCCTTGTTTGATGCCCGTGTTGCATAGGGAATAAATGTTGGGTCTTTGCGTGTTAGTGTGTTAAAATACATGTGACTTTTTGCTGAGTGAACTGGAAACGGCAGGATTACAGTAGTTCGGGGCATGGCAGTCCTCCCGCTCACCATCTGTGGAGCAGAGATGGATGTTCTCCAGAGCCCAGAGCTCTGCTGGCTCTGACCCCAGGTAGCCGCCGCTGTAGATTAGTACAGCGACTGCTTACATGCAAAAGACTGACTGATAGATGCTGCTGTGCTTTCAAAGTCCTGACCTCCCTCTTTTTGATGGCATAACGCTGGGTGTTTGGCTGAAAGTAAACATGCTAGCCTTTCTGTGGTTGCATTTGCATGTAGGGATGGGATATCTATATTGGGAAATGAGAAATTTGGATATTGTGCGTTGTCTTTTCCTGGTTTGAAAGGCTGCGTTCCAGTAAATTGATGTCGTTTTCTGAACTCAAGCAACTGTTGTACCTGTTGTATTATTTGCCTTTAGCCATTAAATGAAAATGTCTGATTTATCAACAAACTCATTGTAAAAGTATTTGATGAAAGCTCCAATAGTCAACCCTCAATTTTTGCTATATTGAAATCAACGTATTTGATTAGAAATCTCATTATATTCTCCACATCACCTAGCCTTTGTCTAGTGAGGATGTTTAAACAGGACTGATGTATTTTAGATCTAATTTACGATACCTCGTGCAGTTTTGACATTCAAGACCATGTCTGACACTTGGGCAGCTGCTGCTCCCGACCCTTCACCTCTAATGGCTTTGACCACAGGAAGTGATCATTAGTTCCCATGACCCACTGCACTGCTCCCTCAGGAGTAGTAACCTTACCGTGAGTCCGCCCTGAGAATAATCACAGATCCATCTCTCTCGACTAATGGGCGACTTTGAATCCATTGACATCAAAAATTAATGAAGAAAAAGCTGTTGAAAGGTTTGGCTCTGCAGTAAATGTATAATGCTGTTAAAGGAATTGAGCACTGCCACATTTATTGAGTTTAAGGTAAAACAAGGTGCTCAAAACCTTTTGAGGCCATGAAATTGCTTCCATTGTGTTGCTTATACTTTTTCCTACCAATACTTTCGACCCTCATTTTTGTTTGTCTTATTTATATCATAGAAAAACAGCAAATCCCAACACCTGAGCGGTAAAATCAGATAATATAACAAATGATTGCTACGATAAATCAAAGTTGTCCCTGATTAACTGATTTGCATTTGTCTCAGTCACATTTATAAAGTAGAGTTTTTTTTATTTATTATTCCCCAACTTCACCACAAAAACATTTAACTTGTATAAAAGGCATATTCATTTTTGTTTGCAATTCATTTGACATCAGCAGAAGGTCTGTATGGGAGGTGTTGTCATCAGAGCTACACTTATTATAAGGTCGACTACATTTACATTTAATAAATTCCCAAATATCCAGGCAGTTGTGCTTGAATCTTAATTTCTTGCTTGTCTGTGGAGTTTTTGTCTTCAGGAACTGAAACACATGATCAGTTGGATTGGGGTCAGCTGACTTACTTAACCACCAAAGAATATCCCTCTGTTCGGCCTTAACTTAGGGTTGCTTGGCTGCCTTGTTTGTGTATCAAGGATAATTTTCCTGTAGCTTTCTCCTAAAATTGTGACAATTAGTCCATACAATGTATTTTTTTATTATGAGCATTACGTTGCAAAAATGATAAATTCCTACAATATGTTGAATCATATTACAATTGCAATATCAATCATAAAATTGCAATTAGTTATTTTTTCCAAATGCTGCAGCCCTACATGTGGCCCTGTCCCATTGACAGCAGTACAGGGAGCAGTATGTGTAATACCTGTGCAGGTAAACACTCATTTCCTCACCCTGTCAGTGAGGGAGCAGTTCAGAGCGTTGTTGCAGCTTGCTGACTCACAGAGGGGTGTTACACTTACGTCTCAGCCTGCTCTGAGCAATCATTACCTGACTGGTGATGAAGCGTAGTGGACATGCTGCTACTTGTCATGTTCATTATTACTTTTCATGAATGTTTGATTACCTTCGTTATATTTCACTGTGACGAGTCGACTAAGAAAATCAAACAGAGGCTCTCCTAAAATGACTTTTAAAATGAAAGTGAACCACTTTTTTGCAGATATTGTTCGGAAGAAAGTACAAATACTGAATGCTCATTCTAGTGTCAGTCCTAGTAAAATTATTAGGAAGAGCGTGCTTTCACATGAATGCTCCTCAAGGACAGGGACTCTTCCAGAAGCTTGTCTTATACACACACACACACACAAAAACACACACAAATACTCCCTTTTTTTTGTACAATGCGCAAATGCATCATTCACATAGACCCTGAAGACATATCTGCACTCTGAGCGGAAGATGAGAGAGACTCATATCACAGTCATTCAACCTCAGTACAAGTGAAGCGAGACTAACTAATCACATGAAGCCATTACACAGGAAGAGCGAGGACAACAGTTATCAACAGAGATACAATCCCTGCCATTCATAGTAAGCGAGGGTCACACTGACTCAGACTGTGGGCACATTTTTAATGCAGTTAAACGAGAAGGCTGGCTTTTTTTCTACATTTCTATTGCTGTCAACAAATCTCACAAAAAAAGCCATTAGCAAAGCATTTGTCATTTTCTTTCAACACTCCCTGACTTCATGAACTCTGTCTTTGACACTCGTAATGACACGTTTCTGACTTGCAGTGTTGACGTCAAAGTTGTGGTTTACTCTTACGGTGCATTCCAATACCTAGCGCTATACTATTTAGTACAACAGAAAAGATTGCATGTCTCAATAGGTGGTATGTCAAATGCAATATGCAAAAAATAGCAGGATCTCACACTGCATCCAGGCGCATTTTGCCGTGTTCAAGTATTTTTGGCTATTCTGACCCACAATCCTCTTTGCAGCAGAAGATATGTCACATCGCCTAATCTGCAGAGAAAGCACAGAAAGAGGACAGCCTAATGACAGCTTATGATAAAGTAGTATTTCCTAATTACTTTGTAAGGGCAGCTGCAGTGTGTACTAAAAGTAAAAAGTATACGATTTGGTACACAGTGTTTAACCTTGTGCCTGAAACCAAGCAAGCAGGGATGTCCGAATGTACGTCAGCAAAATTCTGTCATTCAATGTGAAAAAGTGATTTTAATCTATACTAAACATCCCATATGAATGAACTGCAACATCAGGATTACATTCACTTCAATGCTGAAGACACGTATCTTGCCCAAGGACACAATGAGATGTTGGCTGTTGGGATCCTGACCCACTGACCCTTCTATTAGTATATCAGTTTATTTAAAGGGCCCTTATATGCTTATTTTCAGGTCCATATTTGTATTTTGTACCTCTACTGTGACATGTTTACATGCTTTAATGTTCAAAAAGCTCTTTATGTTTCTCATACCGCCTGTACTGCAGCACCTCTTTTCACCCTCTGTCTGAAACCAGAGCCCAGTCCAGTGTTTCCCACAGAATTTGATTCTATTTGTGGGGGCACCGCACAAATAGAATAAAAACCGTAACTGAGGACTAAGTGCCTTACTCAAGGGCACACTAGTAGTGGTGTTCCAGGCGGGATTTGAACTCGCAACCTTCCGATCATCAGCCCAAAAAAATAAAATATATATTTTTTTTTATGAGATCCATTTGTGGTGGACGATATTTAATTGTGGCGGCCCGCCACAAATACATCAATGTATGGGAAACACTGCAGTCTGCTCTGATTGGTTCACTGGCAGACTGTTGTGATTGGTTTAGAGATGTCCCGCCCCTCAGCCTTTCACATACAATGTGTTGGAGAACTAGCAAAAAGAAGTGCAAGTGTTACATAGTGATGTCATCATATTACAGAAGTAAAGAAAGGAGTCCAATGGATGTTTTTTCGACAGGGGGGGAGTGTGGGAGAGAAAACTCCCCCTGGAGGGAACTTTTGGATTTTAACCTTTGCAGAACATTTACATGGCATGCACAAATATATAACCCACTACAGGAAAGGGAAAACTCTGAACAAATTCCCGTCCGCCCTTGGGCCTTATTCTTGGGAAATATGACGTGAACATAAATACAGTTTATGAATTGCCAGTCGTATAAATTCATTGTTGGTTTTGGTGTTTTTTTAGTATCTGGTACGAAGGGAACTCAGCTTCTCTCAGTGTCTTTGTAAAGCACATAACCCAACCAGTATGTTAGGATGCTGTAAATAGTGTCTGACTGTAGCTGCTGCAGATTCATCTGTTTGCTGAGCTTGTGTGTTTTGCCCACTGTCAAGGATAACAAGAGTTATCGATTCACGGCTCAGTGCTGGCAGTGTGGCCGGGTGATGACACAGACCTACTGTGCTACAGTTAGCGATTAGCTTTAAAAAAGGAAATGCTCTTGCTGGCTCCTGTTCTTCGAATCAGAATCAGATTGCCAAGTAGGTTACACAGTCAAGGAATATGCTTTGATTTATACAGTGCTTACATTAACACAGTAAGAGGAATTAAAGGTGGAGTAAGCCGTAGTACTGTAAAAAGCACGACCAATCATTTTAGCCGGCCCGGCTAAAGTAACTGGATGGCCTACCTGCCTGTCAGCCTTCCATCTGTGCACAAACTTATCTCGTGCCCTCATTGGTCATGTGCGCGTTCGTGTGTGTTGGAGGAGGGGCTCTGTAAGGAAGTGGCAGATTTTTTCCGGCTGTGTATTTTCAAATTCTAGCGCACTCGAGCTGGTTTCTCCAAAATGTCCTACCCCACCTTTAAGTTGTCAGAAAAGGACTAAAAATAGAGCTTATCAGTTAACAAAATACTTTAATTAAAGTGGAAAGCTGTGCAGATGTTAGGTGGCATTGAAGATAAATGTTCTTAATATTTTTAGAGGGATACAATCTGTGTTTTCTCTGATCCCCAGCCGTTCGAGGCCAGCGACCTGCTGCTGGGACTGAACTTCTCAAAGGTGCTGAGCAGTCTGGTTTCCCTGAATAAAGTCACTGCAGGTGAGTCAAAATAAGTGCTGTTATATGATGTGTGTGGGTGTTTTTATGAAAGACAGGCGAGAGTAGTGATGACGAGTGCGTGGGTGATGACTATAATACCAAGTCTGGTGTATTTTTATATATTCTGCCCTTTCTCTCCAGATATCGGCGTGGGCAGTGACTCGGTGTGCGCCCGGCACTCTTCAGCTCATCGCATCAAGTCGTTCGACTCGCAGTCCTCTCAGGCTTCACTGGCCCGGTCCTCCAAGCTGCTGCAGAGCCAGTTTCGCAGTCTGGTAAGGTCAACTCTCATTTACGCCACAATTAAGGAAACATCATCAATTGGTCATACAGTCTCTATGTTATTTGTTAAACTACAGATAAACAGGAATAACTAAATTAGTATTGTCAATTCGGTTTCTGTCGTCTGCATCCTTGATAATAGCTGACATCGCTGTGCTGGGTCCAGATAAACTGAAGAAACATCTCACACATTCCCAGCGCAATATCTCACAATCTTGTTTTACCTGTGATTCAAATTACCTTTAGTCTTATGGGCAATGCAGTCGTATTCAGTAAAAACATAGATTCAACCCTTCATTCATTTTCAATGTAATAATAATAATAATAATAATACATTTTATTTGGGGGGCGCCTTTCATAGCACCCAAGGACACCTTACAGGGCATAGGGGCAATATAGGGAACAATTAAAACAGTGGATTTAGTGAAATATCAGCCGGGGTAAAACAAGACAAACAGGAAATGGACTACAGAAGGACACAAAAGGACACAGGGTACAGTTTATAAAGAAAATGCCAGTTTGAACAGGTGGGTTTTGAGTTGGGTTTTGAATGTTGTTATGTAATCAGACTGTCGGATGTGTAGTGGCAGGGAGTTCCAGAGTCTGGGAGCCGAGCAGCTGAAAGCTCGAGCACCCATGTTGCTGAGGCGAGAGCTTGGGACGGTGAGAAGTCCTACGGATGAAGAGCGGAGGGTGCGGGGATGTAGGATGCAAAGGGCTGTAGACACTGAAATCCCCTTGAAAATAGTGCTTGATTTGATCTTGTACATATATAAACTGCAGGCCAAAACTGAATTCACAGTGGAATTATACTTAGAAGGATTTGTTTGCAATATGGGGAAACATTTAGGGAGGGATATAATGAGTTTGATGAACAATGAGTGTTGCACCATTTTTTATTTGTTGATGACAATCGATGAATTGAATGCTCTTCTTGTTGTCACTGCTTTTTCCACTAACTTTGATGTTTATTCTGCTCACTTCCTTTTTCTTCCCTCGTTCTTCAGGACATGTCGGAAAACAGCGGACAGCAGCTGCTGGTGAAAGCGCGTTTCAGCTTCGCACAGAACAACGAGGATGAGCTCTCCTTTAATAAGGGTGACCTCATCAGCGTGATGCGTCAGGAGGACGGCGGCTGGTGGGAGGGGATGGTCAGCGGCCGGTCGGGATGGTTTCCTAGCAACTATGTCCGCGAGGTCAAAGGCTCCGGTAGGTTTGAGGAACTTGGAGGGAACTTTGGGATTTTAGCCTTTGCAGACCATTTACAAGGGAAAACCCCACAAGCATAATAGGGCCTCTTTAAAACAGCAGTGTGGTGATTCAGAATATTTTTGTTTCAAAATGCACTTCAATAATATTCACTTCAATATATGATTTAAACTAGATTGTCGTCCTCTGCATGTGTCTGAGAACGAGCACAGAGTAGCTTTGAAGATTAAATCATTTTAGAAACAGACGCGGTTACAATTTCCTCTTGACAAAAACTGACAAACAGTCGAGCACAGTTTCCATCTGGCCTCCTGACAATAACACAGCCACACATCTGTTGCTTCTCCAGGCCCGCTGGGGTCTGTTGTTTTTTTTACTTGAAAAACAAGTCGATGTGGCATGTGCCAAGCATGCTGCTCCTCTGACATTAGTTCATTTGCTTCAACACTTATCTAAAGAGACAACAATAGGAATATGACTGAAAATAATATTACAGTTTTAAGTATGACGTTTTTATCATGTTTCATTTCTATCAAGTTTTAGTTGACCAAAAGTCTAAACATTTTAGTCTCGTCTTTTGACAATGTACCCTCTTTCTGAGTAAGTACATTTTAGGCTTATTTTATTTCGGCAACAATATTGCATGTTGATATCTTCAATGTTAGTTTTTAACAATGTTGGTGCTATCTTTGAAGAACATTTAGTTCAAGATAGGTAGATACAACCAAAATACTGCCCATTGGTCCACTTGTACATTATTCAACAATTTATTTATAGATTGTTCAAGATTTGTGTCCATTGTTTATTTTGATGTCTCATTCGAAATAATTTAAGTTAGAAGTATCTAAATTCATGTGTTTTCTCTCTAGCTCCAGACAAACAAGACAAAGTGTCCCCAAAGTCTGGCACCATGAAGAGTCCTCCTAAAGGCTTCGACACCTCCGCCATCAGCAAGACGTACTATAACCTGGTAAGGACGCAACTCAACACTTATTTGAATATGTCTTTTCCCATTGTTTTGCTTTATTACATCCCTATCTCTCCTTTCTCCACTGACATCATGTTAAAATGTAAGGATTTAAAGCTTAAAATGATGCTTTGTTTTTTAGTAGTACCAGGATCAAATCTAGCTGGCCTCTTCAACTACAGCTCTCTTCAAAAAACTCACTGACATACTTTAAAACCTCTTAATGTTTAAAACGCTCTGTGACCACCAGTGAAAGTGGTTCTGCAGCTGAGGGCAGGTGTGGTTTGCAGAACTGTCATCACGGTTGCATAAGCAAAGTGAATACACACACACACACACACACACACACACACACACACACACACACACACACACACACACACACACACACACACACACACACACACACACACACACACACACACACACACACACACACACACACACACACACACACACACACACACACACACACTCACTCGAGAACACAGTGCAGTTTGCATTTCGTAGATTTCAGCTCTTGTAGCAATCTTCTTAAAAACCTGTGAGATGATAACTGGGTTTTTTTTAGATGTATTTCTGTGATGAAAGCCCCTGAAATGAAAGTGCTATTAAACGCACTGTTTTGGGTCACAAGGAAGCTAACAATTGACTATTACGAATGGTGATGAACAGATCCTTTTTCACCCTTCATATGAACGTAACCTCCATGGTAGCCCTCGCGTTTCACAGTCAACACTGGAATTAATAAAATAATGTAGTGAAAACTGATCAGTTACCTTCTAAAAAGAATATTGTGAATGACCCTGTGTTTTTCACTTCATAATATATCAACGCTAAAGCACATCATATACATATCTTGCAAACTCTTTAGGTGTTTAAATAGAGTAATACAAACATCTTTGATACATTATAAAAAATGGTGTGTTTATAATGTTTGACCCTGAAAAAAGTGTAACTCAAAATGTGTGGCACTAACTCAGTAGCCCTGAAACTGACAGTTTAAAAAAAATAATATAGCTGTTTCTCCAATTGTCTTCCAAGTCAAGAATACTTTTTAAATTGAAGCTGTTTTCTTTTCTGTTTCTATTGTAGGTGTTGCAGAACATTTTAGAAACAGAGACAGACTATTCCAAGGATCTTCAGAGCCTCCTCACCAACTACCTACGACCTCTTCAGAGCAGCGACAAGTACGAATAATTTAAACACATCAACAAGTCTTGGATCATTACTTGACTTTCTTCCGTCTGTCACTGAATATGAAGTCACCATTTTTGCTTCCCCTCCCATCCTTCGTTGTTCCTGCAGACTGAGCAGCTCCGACGTGGCTCTGATTCTGGGGAACCTGGAGGAGATCAGCACCTTCCAGCAGATGCTCGTCCAATCGCTAGAGGAGCGCACCAAGTTAGTCCCTCCCCCCCCTGCACACACTGCCCCACTGCAGCAGCATCTGCACTATTTCATAATAAGCAGAGGGACATCTAGTGTCGGGCCAGCGGTACTGCGCCGATGTTGGATTAAACCATAGACTAGAATTTGTCATATTTTTTGCCACAGTATTTGCCTACAGCTCACTAAAAAATGGTGAGTATTATTATTCCTTCCCGCCGCCACACTGCTTCTAAATGGGGGAATGTCATGTTTAGGTTTCTGTACATTATACATTATTCTAATATATAGTGTATAGTCTAGAACTGCTCTACATGAAAAGTGTCATGAGACCGTTTCTGTTATAATTTGGCATTAGATACAATTGCATGAAACTTGAAAAATCCATATACTTCTGTTCTATTTTTCTTGTGTGTGTGTGTGTGAGTTTTTAAAGAAGTTGTTAATAAACTAGTGATATTTTCTTTTCTTCAGGCTTCCAGAGAGCCAGCAGAGGGTGGGGGGTTTCTTCCTGAACCTCATGCCGCAGATGAAGGCTCTTTATGTCGGTTACTGCTCCAACCACCCGTGTGCGGTTAATCTGCTCACCCAGCACAGGTACGTTTAAAACATCAACTACATTTAGTTTCATTTTACAGTGTTTCAACCTGTTTTTATGCAGCTGAGAATAACAACAGCCAGTATTAGGACATTTAAGAAAAAGACTTGTATGTTGGGTTTTGTGGAGTTTATTATTAATTCACAGTCGTAGGATTGTTTGTTCTATTGTGGCTTGTCACTACGAACACAAAATGCTTACTCTGCAGTCAGCATTATTTCATCATCATAATATTACCAACATGATCAGAATCAGAATACCTTTATTAGTCCCACAGAGGGGACATTTGCATTGTTGCAGCAGGAAAGAGCCACAGACGGCTTAATGTTACATATGTTAAAAAAAAAAGTACTAAGTTATGATATAATAAAAATATAATAAAAAAATAAAACTAAAGAAAAAATACTTTTCAAAATACAAATCCTGTAACAGTTCTTAGGATTTAGCAGCCAGGTATATATTACACAGTTATTAATGGCATATGTATATAATGTATATATTGCACATATAGCACATATTGCACATAGTTTGATGGTATTTAACAGCAGCAAGTTACACAATTTACAAAATGCAACAAACACACCTTGTAACGGTTCTGAGGATTTAGCAGCCAGGTATAAATTACACAGTTATTAACGGCATATATATATATTGCACATATAGCACATATTGCACATAGTTGATTGGTATTTAGCAGCAAGGGGTGATATAGTCTGTGTTGTGGTGTGTGTGTGGGGGAGGGGGGGTCTACTAGGGGCTGTGCTGGTTGTATAGTCTGTGTTGTGGTGTGTGTGGGGGAGGGGGGGTCTACTAGGGGGCTGTGCTGGTTGTATAGTCTGTGTTGTGGTGTGTGTGGGGGAGGGGGGGGTCTACTAGGGGCTGTGCTGGTTGTATAGTCTGTGTTGTGGTGTGTGTGGGGGAGGGGGGGTCTACTAGGGGCTGTGCTGGTTGTATAGTCTGTGTTGTGGTGTGTGTGGGGGAGGGGGGGTCTACTAGGGGCTGTGCTGGTTGTATAGTCTGTGTTGTGGTGTGTGTAGGGGAGGGGGGGTCTACTAGGGGCTGTGCTGGTTGTATAGTCTGTGTTGTGGTGTGTGGGGGGAGGGGGGGTCTACTAGGGGCTGTGCTGGTTGTATAGTCTGTGTTGTGGTGTGTGTGGGGGAGGGGGGGTCTACTAGGGGCTGTGCTGGTTGTATAGTCTGGTGTTGTGGTGGTGTGGAGGGGAGGGGGGGTCTACTAGGGGCTGTGCTGGTTGTATAGTCTGTGTTGTGGTGTGTGTAGGGGAGGGGGGGGTCTACTAGGGGCTGTGCTGGTTGTATAGTCTGTGTTGTGGTGTGTGTGGGGGAGGGGGGGTTCTACTAGGGGCTGTGCTGGTTGTATAGTCTGATTGAATCCAGCTTAAGCAGAAAGAATGAAAGAAACATCTTTCTGCAGGTTAGAGCAAGTTACAGTGATCACAGCGTGGTAAAGAACATGCGAAAGAGAAACGTTTAGCTAAAATATAAATAATAAATAAAAAATAAAAAGACCCAGACTTGACAAGCTTAAATAGATTCATCACATAAAGCATCCCAACTTGAAAAGGATCCTGAGACCGTAAGAAACAGGCAGATAATTAGACCTGATCTAAAATATGGTTGGTTAACCCAAACACAACCAAACAAAAAGAGATCTCTGGTATTTGCGTGATGCTCCTTTAGTTAGGAAGCAGCTGCGTTAAAAAGAGCAACAAATCATGTCGTATTTAAACCCTCAGTTAAAAAAAAGACTTTCTCTTGAACTAATGGATACTTTAAGGCTGTTAAACTGTAAAGGTCATTGTAGGTCATCAAGGATGTATGATAAGTAAAACAAACCATTTATCTTGTCTCCTCGCAGTGACGTGTTGGGGGAGTTTATGGAGGGGCGAGGTGCCTCCACACCCGGGATCCTCACCCTGACCACCGGCCTCAGTAAACCCTTCATGAGACTCGCCAAATACCCAAACCTACTCAAAGAGCTGGAGAGGCACATGGAGGTGTGTATCTAAGCATCTGTGTGTGCTTCTGTTGATATGTGTGTTTATTTTACAACCATGTTCTTTGTCTTTCCAGGAGAGTCATCCTGACCGGCCAGACATTCAGAAGTGCATGGCCTCTTTCAAGAATCTGTCTGTAAGATGATCTCACTTCCTCTAATCAGACTTAATATGATATTAAATCTAATAATAGCAGGTCGTTAAGCAGCTGTGTGTTTCCGTCGTGTCAGGCTCAGTGCCAGGAGGTGAGGAAGCGTAAGGAGCTGGAGCTGCAGATCCTCACCGAGGCCATCCGGCTGTGGGAGGGGGACGACATCAAGACCCTGGGCTCCGTCCTCTACATGAGCCAGGTGTTGGTGCAGAGTCCCGGATCAGAGGTACCAGCAACATCCACATCCTCCACCTGCACTTCACTGTGCTACAAACTATGCTTCATATATTGCTACATTATTACTCGATAAGTCAACCAAGATATCTTTAGTCCATTAGTGGGTTTTTCCAAGCTGAATTACTTATTGTTAAGTAACTAATGAGCACATCTCTGGTCAAAGTTAAAACTAAAGTGATTTATTTATGATTCTTTGTGGAGAAACTAGGTTTTACCGATCTGTCGATGAAAATAACTAATCAATTATTCTTCAAATCGTATGAGTTTTGGTCATACAAGAATATCTTTAGTGCAGGACAGCCCTAAATAGTAGTGTACATAATACCGTTTTTTTCAATAATTCAATTCAATGATATATTTTCTTGACATCTTTTGCAGTTAGTTGGAAATTAGATAATTAATTCAGTAAACTGTTTGAGAGTTTCTTGAAACCAAAATTAAAAAGTAAAAAAAACATTAGTTCTAATCCAAAAACAAAGTAAAATGCATAATCGTTTGACACTCTTTGGTTTTCTGTGTTTGTTATTGTAAATAAATATTACATGAAATGAGAACTTTTTGAAATATGAGGCTGATAATGACTTGACACCAACAGCTGATATCTTTTAATTTGATTGTGGATCTTTGAACTGCACTAGCTTCTGGTCTTATGTATCTATATGTATAATAAAGTGGTTATACAAACAGGACAATATACCTAATTATTATCTTGCATTCACACTTTCCTTTCCCCCCTCTGTTTCTTTTACTTCAGGAGAAGAGTGAGCGTTACCTCATGCTCTTCCCTCACGTCCTCCTCATGTTGTCTGCCAGTCCCAGGATGAGCGGCTTCATATTCCAGGTCAGTAATCAACATTTCCTCAGTGTTTAGACTTTTAAGTTTTCCCTGCAGTGTTTAAACTTAGTGGTTGAAAATGAACTTCTCTGTCTTAATTCTGATGTGTGGATTTCTCCGTGCAGGGAAAACTGCCCCTGGCCAGCATGACAGTGACCAAACTAGAAGACTGCGAAGCCCATAAAAACGCATTTGAGCTCAACGGTAAGGCTACATTTCAAGGTTCAAGGTTCAAGGTTCTTTATTGTTAAACTGACATAGCTACAGAGTAATTATGTCGTTGAAAATCTTATGTCACAGGCTTCTCCAACAATGCAACATAATAATACATGAGCATAATAATCACTAACCTTTGTCTATATACTACAAAGTGTGTCTCAAAGGCAGCAAGTTAAAAACAGACAAGTCCTAAATCATCATAATACGATGAAAACAGAAAATAGGAACAGACTTTTTATATTAGGTTAAAACACAAGTTTAATCAGGAAAGGCTTTCCCATAGAAACACATTTTAAGAAGGGACTTCATGGAGATTAATTAGTGGGGCAGATCGTTCCAGATCCTGCGGGCGCTGACTGCAAATGGTCTCTCCTTTTTTTTAGTTTTCAGCCTCTGAAATAGAAAAAAGACCTGAGGATCTTAAAAACACACATGGTAGTAGGAAGTCAGAGCTAAAGCTGGGAGGGAGGACATTAAGAGCCTTTAAAATAATAATTAAAATCTATCAAAAAACATAGTTCTGTACACTCTGGAGTCACAATCATCAGATTATTGTCTGAAGGCTGTTGCAGTAATACAGGCGTGGTGAGATTAAGGCATGTCAAATAGTTCTAGTATCTTTAAATTGGCCCACAGAGAGGGGAATTAATATTCTTACATCAAACGGACAGTGCAGATAAAAAAGCAGATACAATAGGTTGGCTTACACATTACATAATGAGGCAAGCACACGTAAAAAAACATCAAATAATAACACATCCGTGGTAAAGAAAACTAAATAAAAATAGGAATGAATAGCAGCCATCTAAAGTCATGTGAGCACATAAAGTATCACTGGCATTAGGATGATAAAAACATGAACATGCTTCCTAGTGTGCCACAACAACAATTACTGTCAAACCAGACTCCAAAATGCCTTGCAACAGACTTGATATGATCTTAAAGATAACCATTACATAGCTTAATTTGTTTTCCAATGACAAGGATCTCTGTTTAGTTTGAGTACAGCTGAAGACATCATCTTGACAAATGCTGAGGGAAATTCATTTATCCTGAATGCTTTTATAATGTACTGACTCCCTCTTTCTCTGCAGGCACGATGTTTGAGCGTCTGCAGGTGGTGTGCTCCAACCAGCAGGACCTGCAGGACTGGGTGGAGCACCTGAGAGGGCAGATCAAACACACCGCGGCCACCGGGCCCAGCCACAAACCCCTCACAAATCCCTGCCACACGGTCAGGAGATAATCCTTATAAACCCTCATACAAATGGTTTCTGGTTTTTATACCCAATGTGCATATTGATCGGCCATTAATGCCTGGGTCACATCATCATCTACAATGACTGCACAGCCCTGTGTTAAGTGGCTCTCTCTAGAAGGGCCGCAATACACAATTGAATTGAATGCAAATACATCATTAACAGCATTCAGTCTTATCCCTTGAACCAACAAACAAACAATAATCATCATTTTTATTTACAATAATATATTTATATGCTGGTGGTTGCATTTTGGAGGTAAATGTAAATAATTTAAATCTGCAGGGTTTCTATGAATGGACATTCAATACGAGGCTTTCCTGTAGAGCAGGGGTCTCAAACTCAAGGCCCGGGGGCCAAATCCGGCCCGCGACTTCATTTTATGTGGCCCCGCAAGAGCTTGCAAAGAATATTATACGGTTACTGTACATGCCACTTTACAGAAGCAGGTTGCCCATAAACTACATGTCCCACAATGCATCTCGTTTTGTGACATGCGCACTGAAGAGACTTGCAATTATTTGCCCTGGACTTCTGCTTTCAGACGTAGTTAATTACTAAGTTATTATCCTATCCGATAATAATCCAATTCAGAGGCAATAATGTAATATAATACATTATTTTATATATATATTATATATTTATATAATTACAACCGGCCCTTTGAGTGCAACCTTTATGCGAATGTGGCCCGCGATGAAATTGAGTTTGACACCCCTGAGGTATTTTTGGCATTTTCAAATGGTAATAGACGATTGTTTTTTTTAAATGTATTTAGGCTTAGTCCTTTAATAGATGATGTTGTTAGAAAAAATACATATCCGGTTTCCTTTACTCTATTTATTTAAATTATATTTTAGTGTATGTGTAACCGGTGTCGTTAAGCGGTCTCTGCGCTGTGTTTTGCGTTGTTCATGGATGACCCGAGCCAGCATACAGTTTTGACGATCTCCGTTTTATTACTGACAATTTTAAACAGATATAACAATCAGTATATTAGCTTTCCCTCACAGTGACTCCTCTCATGTGGAACATTTACAAAAAGGGAAGAGGAAACGTGAGGGACACAATATATAGGGGGGGAAATCCTCACAACAATAATCTCGTGAGCACAGCGACCACACTTCAGAGGTTCCGCTCACTGATCTCCGACCTTGTCAGATATTGAACATTCAATAAAATGAAGAACACAGAATTACTTAATATAAAACACAGAATTTGTGTGATTATACAAAATTATTTTCAAATAAACCCCACTGCATATTTACAACTGTTACATATGTGAACATTCCAGTTAATTGAGTCTAGCCGAAATATCCCCTCAGTTCTTTCTTCAAAACCCTTTAGCCGTCTTTATTAAAGGGGACCTATCATGCAAAATGCACTTTTGTACGTCTTTTATACATGAATATGTGTCCCCGGTGTTCCAGGGAACTCACCAAGTGTCAGAAAACACAACCCTCTCTATTTTCTAGACAGCCACGGCCATTGCCGTTCGAAAGCGCTGGAGACGCTGTAGTACATATGCCAGGCCAGTAGATGGTGCTGTTCTCACAGAAACTGCCCTTGCGAAAACAGAGCTAAAAAATGTCAAATTGAGCAAAATGAGGCATGGCTAAAATGCATGATCTGTTTGGTATTTTGAAAAAATAAAAAAGTATAAATATGCCTTATATAGGTATGGTCCTACACTATATTATTAAAATATAGCATGATAGGTCCACTTTAACTTTAACTTAAGCTAAAGAGATTTTTCTAACCTTTTGATTTTTTTAACTACATATAAGTCTTGCCTTTATATTCATCAAAGATACTGCATGTTGATAAAGTCACAGTTAGTGTTCAATCGCATCAAAGCTGTCTCGTCATCTTCTCATCATGATCATGGAAAAAAAGATTGTTGATGAACACATTTAGTCATATTTTTAGTTCGTAAATAAATACTGGAGTAGACTTGGAGGCAGAACAGACACGCATATACCCCATCTGTCCTGGGATACATCTCGGTTCCCCCTGGAGGTGCTGCAGGAATGAACTGGGGAATATGACATCTGGGCTACTGAGGGCTGCGTTTCCCAAAAGAACCGCAATGTTCATGAACATTTTAAGGAACAGTGGGTTCGTCAATGTTTTCCACACTGTCGCTATATTTGAAATGCACCTCTTGGTATTTTTCTGCCACTGTCAGCCAGAGTTTCTATCTGAAAAGTTCATACTAGACAAAACATTTAGTGATTCATCTACTTGTTGTTAATTAAAAACATATTTATGTCCACTTGGGAAAAATGTTTCTGCCATGGGTTAAATATAGGAAAGTAAAGCAAATGTAAATGGGGAAATTAAGCAGAATTGTCTCTCTTGTGATGAATCTTACCACATTTCTCTTTTTGTTTGGTTCCTCAGCTCCCGTCTCACCCTCTCACCCCGTCCCGGCATGCTGAAGGGAGGGGCATGACGGTGGCTCCCACCTACCACACCCTGCCTCACCCCTCCTCCCATGGCTCATCTCACAGCACCATGATGTGGGGCCCACTGGAGCAGCCCAACACCCCCAAACCCTGGAGCCTGAGCTGTCTGCGACCCGCACCCCCTCTACGACCCTCTGCAGCCCTCTGCTACAAGGAGGTGAGAGACTGTGTTTTTATGTTGTTAAGACTTCTTCATATGTTTTTAAGTATGCTGATTTTATAATTGATTTTATACTACCTTGTTTTCTTTTTTCAGGATCTTAGTAAAAGTCCTAAGAGTGTGAAGAAACTGCTTCCCAAGCGCAAGCCTGAGAGGAAACAGTCTGAGGAGGAATTTGCCTTGAGGAAGAGTATGTTTAAAATCTTTCCTATTATTTATGTTAAAACAAAGATACAATATGTCATTTTCTCTTGCTTTACTTTGAATATTGAGGCAATAGTTTGACATTTTGTGAAATGGCGTGTTCCCTTTTTCACGAGAGAGAAATTAGATTAATTAACACTTCATATCTGTCCGTTAAGTAGGAAATACAGCCTGGAGACATTCTATCTTAGTTTAGGAAATCATATCACACAGGTCCTTTACATTGGCTCTAGGAAATAGCTATCATGTTACTGGAATTCACAAGAAAACCTCATACTGCCACTTATACATTTCTGTTTTTGTCAAAAAAACAAGATATAATGTGTTTGTTAGTGGGCTTAAGAGATGCTTAGAGGTGCATCCATATTCTCATATCACTCAGGAAAAAAGTAAATCAGTATACTTCCCACATTTTCAAACTATTCTTTAAAAGTTTTCATATGCATTTCTTTTGTGTTTTAAGTAGGAGTAAAACAGTTACCATAGAACTGATAGACATGAGAATTTAAATTAATTATCTCCTTTTTCTTTCTCAGGTACCGCTGCTCTGGAAGAAGATGCCCAGATCCTGAAAGTTATCGAGGCATACTGCACCAGCGCCAAAACCAGGCAGACTCTGAACTCCAGTAAGCCAACACCAAACATAACATACAGAGGTTTCATACTGGAGCTTGCTCTCTTTGTTACTTACCTGTATTCTGTAACTCAAAGCCTTTCTTTAACACTGGTGTTCTGAACTGATCTTTCTAACAGTATCTTCTCCTTCTGTCTGTCTCTCCTCCACTCCTCACGTTTTGGCATTGCTCTGTTCCTTCTTTTCCTCATCCATTTTGGTTTTACGTTCTCCCATCTTACATTTCTCATTGCTTCTTTTATGATTTACCATTTGTCGCGTGCTCCATTTGCTACATCTTCCTCTGCACCGCCCCTCGTTTTTTTTTTTTTCGCACACCATTTCCTCCCTCGTCACCGCCAAACTTTGCCCCGCCCCGAGCAGCCTGGCAGGGCACGGATCTGATGCACAACCACGTGCTGGCCGACGTGGACCGGTCCTGTATGGACTCTCCGGGCCGCCGTAGCAGCGTGTCGCGGCCAGAGTTTTCCTCTGACCTCTCGGAGGACTCTGACTATGACTCCGTCTGGACCACCCACAGTTACAGGATGGGCTCAGTGCCACGTAAAAGCTGCATCTCTCACCAGAACTAAATAACGTACAGTACTGCCACGCTGTACCCGATGTAACGTACAGCGAGCTTACCTCTTTAACCTTCAATGTATGAAAAGAAACTAGATTTTTTTTAATGTATCTATTTATTTTCTATTATATATGTTATTTTTTGTTAACTTATTTGGTTTATTTATTATTTTAGTTTGTTTTAAGATGTTTTAAGCATCTCCCTGTTGCCTTTGCCACTTTCCCTTCTATGTGCCTCCTCTCTTTGTGTAGTTGTCATGCAGTAAGTGTTTAGTAATTATTATTAATTTATCTTGAATGTGACCACTCCCCTTGTTTGACCATAAATGTGGCAGACTCTCAGCAGGGAGTAGAGGGGTGTTGGAGGGGAAAATAGGGGAGGGAAAACCAGGGGAGGGAGAGATGGGGACTGAGCTTTTCCTGTCTGATATTCAGATGTAATTCAGGAACGAGTGTATTCTATTGACCATGTACTACTTCTCTCCAGTATGTGTTTCTAGAGTATGTATGCTCAAACATAGCACAGATGTCATAAACACACGCACAGGTTTAGGCACACATGCCCCTGCTGCCGGATAATATAGCAGCATGCAAATGAAATATCCAAATTCTTCATGTTGTTTTCATAATTTCAATCTTTATTTATTTATTTTTGCTAAGCAGAATTACATTTTAACGTACAACATGACCAAAAGCTATACTATAAATCCTTGCTAAATGTAAAAGTTTGTGAAACACAGTTCATTATTTTAAGTAGCTGCTACAGAATGAGGAGAATATCACATACACTGTCTAGTACATCTAGTCAAAGAATAGTGAATTTAAAGGCTCAGTTCGTCCAAATTAACAACATATAGCCTAGACACATTTGATCAAATAATAATATAACATGACTGCATTTGTAATGCTGTGAAAGCAGAAATCTAAGTCAGTAACGTTGATAACTTCATGCAATACTAGAAACGTGAGAAATAATTTTTAAAGTATTTTCGGTGAGCTGAGCCTTTTACTCAATATCTTTGAGAAGGTTTCTGTCTTGTGTCTCCTAAGCATCATCCTTTAAAGCCTGATCTTCCATCCAGTAATGTTGCTGTCTGTCAGTGGTTCTACAGGGTTGCATTTATATTATAGTTTTAAACCTCAAGTTGGTATGTTAAGAAAAATAAAAAGATTCATTTAAACCAGGCATAGCATAATGGCCTGACACAAATAAGCTGTAAAATACAGCCTAACACAGCGACATTCCAATAATAATAATAATAATAAAATGCCTTTGTTAAATGTTTCCTGCAAAGGAATAGTTCAACATTTTGGGAATAACCCTTATTTGCTTATTTTTTTTAGTCACGTTGAAAAAGAACCTGGAGCCAGGAGCAGGTTAGCTTAGCATGTCATTCAGATTTGTATCAGCAGGATTAAGCTAGCATGGCAAAGGTCTGAAAATCCACCAATCAACACTTTTAAACCTTACTGTATAAACTAAATATATAGTATGTTAAGTAGTAAGCTGTAGCTGATCAAGCAGGATTGTTTTTAAAACATGTGATAGAGCCAGGCTAGCTGCTTCCCTGTCTTAATGCTATTTTAGCAAATTAGCAAAACATGCTAGCTAGCTCCACATACCTATCACACAAACATGAGACTTTATTTTTGTTTCAATCTTCTCGTAATATTACAAGATAACTGAAAACAGGTCATTACTAAAACTACCTATGCTCCTCAATGATAATTCCAGTTTTCTTACCAAGCTAACTAATTGCTAACTTTAGCTTCAGATTTACTGTACAGACATGGTATCACAAGATATGAGACTGGTATTATTTTTTTTTTTAACCCCAAAATGTTGAGCTATTGCTTTGAAGGTGACGATTTGAGCAGGTTAGCTTAATGCATACAGTCTATAGCCTAATGTTAAACATCCCCTGTGTCACAACAAACTAGCACCTATGCTACGGCCTCATAAGCCAGATATGCCTTTGTGTCGTCTGGCTTGCGAGGTTTCCCATGCTATCTCTTGCATTAATGACTATTTTTATGAAGAAGTATTTTTCCAGTGTTGGTATTTAAAGTACAGGTTGGCATCCATTTACAGTAGAGTCTATCTCCTCGTACAGCAAGCAATGTTGGTGACATATGGAATATATTGGTCCATGTTACAGAACTATTTAATGTTTCCGAAATGATTCCTTTATTGTTCTCATTATTTTTGTATACAGGCGTATTTTTATTTTATTTATTTATATTTCATTCTGTATGTCAATGTTTACAAAATGATCCCTGGAAGTATCATTTGATTTATTTTTATTTTTTAAAACGATTTTATTGCTCTGTATCAAAGTTTACACTGAAAGTTATAACATGAAGTGTTTTCATTATTTTTGCACAATCATGTAACGGGCCAGTGGGGGTGGGGGATAGAATCTGTTAAATTATGTACTTTTTGTCGTCTACCAGAGTGTGTATGATATAGTCCTAAAGGTAGACCTGAGTATTCAGTGTTACTGTAAAGTAAATGCTCATTCGTAGTGTAAATGCTCACCTTTGGTGTTTCGAAAGCATTGAGGGTAAAAAAATTAAAATAAACAAGAGGCCGTGATTATTATACAGGAACTCATTCAACCTCAGTCAGGGTGGACTTGAAAAATAAGAGCACATTGTCTCCCTTTCTGTAAATACTAGTTGTCATGGAGCAAGAAAAAAAAAATCCATTCTACCTTCTATGAGTATTTGAGCTAAGAATATCACTGTCCTTATATCATGTGCTATACTTTGTGACAGGTGTATTCTGTGGTTTAAGAAGTCAAATTGTGGGACAGGCAGTGTGAAAAGAGACCGGCTGCCTTTGACCAACTTTGTCCTCTGTGTGCTCTAACGCTGTATTCAGTTCACTCTTGTGACCATGTCTTATCTGCAAACAGAGCATTCAGTGTATTTGTTCTACTCTGAAGTGTTCAAGTCCCAAAACGCTGTATCATGAGTTTTGAATAAAAAATCTGTCATTTGGTAGATACTGGCATTCTGGTTATTTGTGAGAATAGCAAATCTGTTTGGTGTGTGTGTTGTCTTTTGGCAACGAGTTCTCAATCCAAACTTGCCAGATATCTACGCTTGGTCACCCCTTTACATCTCCTTTTAATGCATATGATACCCCTTAACCATCATTTTTTATTGTGCAGGGTATTATGATAGACTTGACACGTGGTTAATGTTGCATTAAATATGTGGCGAAAGTATGTTATGTCCCCACTTGGTAAGATTTTGGAACACAACTACTTGGTTAGGTTCAAGAAAAGATCATGGTTTGGATTAGAATAAGTATTTATGCATCTTATGTAAAGTTTGAGTTTTGAATTTAATTGAGACATAAACAGTGGTATCTTGGGTAAAAGTTCATTTTTAGTTTGACCTCCCTCCACAGACTTTTTTGCTTTTCATACTAAGTCACCAGAGTACATGAGGTGTCATAGTTTGGCGCATAGGGCCACTGACCAAGCTGCATTATTTGACAAGTTGAAGCATATAATTGTGCAATGCTTTAATCTGTGTTTTTCTACCACTTTTCTCAACAGCTTCTCACTTCCTTTCACTTTTCTCTGTCTCTTTTCTGGTATTTTTTCTGTGCATTACTAACCAGTTTTGGTTTGTGCTGGATTTTCTCTGATGCTGTAACTTTCCAATATGGAAATTCTATACTGACTCACCTTACTACAAGGTGAGACGTTATAATGTACCAATTGTGGAGTGCTTTTCTGTTTTGAAACAGAGCCGCAAAAGGAAAAAGGGCTGCATATGATCATCCCTGGTGATAAGAAAGTCCTGCTGGAGGGTCCTAGTCGCAACGGACAAAGTACAGCTGAAGAAAAGTAAGATAATATACATATCTCTTTCTATCGCTTCACCTTTGCCCTGAATGACGCAATTGACATATTGTAAATGCCATGTGAAGCCTATTCCTTTTTAACTGAAGACTTTAAAAAAGGTTCTCAGATTATAACTTGATTTTAAAAAGCCTCTGTAATCTTCAATATAAATTGTTTAAAACATTACTCAGACAGGAGTAAATTGATAATTTTTTGGGACCATTTTCAGCTACAGATAAAGTGACTTTAAGTCAATTGTTTAATGTCAGCTGCAACCCCTATTATCTTGAGTATGGGTAACTAACAACTGTATTTACCTGCTTTGAGCTGGAGGATAGGCTCACATTTCTTCAAGAGTCTATTAAAACCGCACTCAGATGCCGATATCAGCAATGACACAGATTGATTTAATGCTTCCTGTCATCCGTACTGGCTGTGAAGTGATCCATTCCTTATGTGAATCAAATGATAAGTCCAACCATTTACAGCTGTGTTGCTTTAAGATTGACTCAAGTTCAAATGTGAACCTATCCTTTAGTAACCAGCCATGTATATTAATAATGCTAAACTGTAAATGTTTATCATCACAAAGGGGCCTGGTGGATGTGGTGTACGCCCTGAGGGATGAGGTTCGAGAGCTGAAACAGGTAAATGTTTATGAATTAGATGTTTTACAAAAATAGCATGATTGTGTGATTTATCTAATATATGACTCTCAGAAGTTCAAATGACCTGGCTAAACTCCAGGTCTGAAGTTGTTAGCTGTTAAGTCTTTACGCAGCACAGTGAAAAAATATACAATTATATTGCCCTTTTATTGTGAAATTGGTGTTTTTCATTATTTTGCAACATAGGAACTTTGAAAAACCTCATATTATTTGAGATAATGACAACAATGATATACTTCCTTTACCTCCCAGGATAACAAGAAGGTGAAGAGGTCGCTGGAGGAGGAGCAAAGAGCACGAAAGGATTTGGAAAAAGTTGTGAGGAGGGTTTTAAAGAGCATGAACGACCCGACATGGGATGAGACAAATCTCTGAGGACCGTGTGCACCATCTGCAGCTGAAGCTTTAAAAGAAAAAAGATAGAAAGAGCATGTATATGTGTGAGCTTGCTTGCACTGTGTGTGTAAAATGCAAACAATCGCACACCTAATTTATGGTTGGTTGTGTGACTGAGAGGATAAGGAGTGACTCTGTAAGCTGGTAATTATAAGAGGAGTGTGGGTTACTACCACTCTGGTTAAGAGACCGGAACCACAATGCTGAACAAGCTCTATTCCACTAAAACATTTCTCAATGACCAAGCAAGATGGTGAGGAGATTATACACTTAACCCACTTCCATCGTCGACTATTGGAGGGGAGTGCTCCTGTTCTGTTTACAATCATATAACTGGACGCTGTCCAATGGTACATAAATGGTACTTTAATTGTTTTAATGGTCACAAAAGCCTTAGAAAAGTCTGAAATTGAACCATGACATTTGATAACCTCTATTATGTTATTTAATTTTGTATTAATTGATTTTTGTTCTGTCTTATCCTGACACAGGCTTACTCTTGTGTTTTAGCACAAAGTTAATAATCTGCCAGGAAATTTAGCTTTTTTGTCTGTTTGAATTTGTTTTTGTGCCTCGTTTTTGTACCTTTTTATTGTTTTGACCACTTTGCCGTTTGACTTTCTTTCTAGGGATCCTAGGGAATTGTACAGATGTTGAACGTGTACTGTATAATGTAAATACTGCTAAAAGATGAGCCTTTGTACTTTGGGAGAAATAAATGTTTGACTGAGTTTCTTTCTCCTTGTTACACACCCACAAACACAGAATTGCACACTTTTATTTTATTATATTTCATCTTATTTATAATTTATACTTTATACAGCATCAAGCTAAAGTTGTGTTCAAAGAAATTGCCTCGAAACCAATTGACACACAGAAAACCTAGGACCAAGTACACAATTATAGGAGTACTTAGGCTTTTCTTGATGTCTACAATTTCGCAACGCCCCCTAGTTCAGCCTATAGTTATTCTCGCTTCCAATCCATTTGGGGGTCTCAGGCGCCATTTTGTCTGAGGAGGTTTGCATGGTGTTTAAAAATAATTTCAGCAAGATTAATTAATCCCACCCAAGATTTGTTGAAAGAGGACAGTAGAAGAATAGTTTTAATAATTGTCCCATGGATGAACATTATGAATGAAAGAATAGTGGAATCACGTTGCTATGACATTACTAACTATGCCAACAGTTTAGAATTCCCATTAAACAGTTGCAAGGGAAACCAGTAAATCCAGTAAGTAATTCCATTTGGCAATGATCTGGTAAGTAGTGTTTGACTTCGCAAAGTATTTTGAATGCTACCGTGCTGATGATGGGGAAAAAAATCTAATGGTTCTATTTTCTTATTTATTAACTTTTTGACCAAACTGTTGGATATGCTCCACAGGTTGTGAACTAGTTTAGACCGAACAACTCATATTGTGTCAACACTTTCTACGCTACAAGTGTTCAACGCACCCTTTGCAAAATGGCGGTCTGTTTGAACGGTTTCCGTCTGCCATCTTGCTGCTACACTGTTTTACAAGCTAGCTGTAGCTAGTTCTGCTGCTCATTTAGCAAATTCTCTACAAGTGAGCCTGTTTAGAGGCATGTTTATTTCGTGCTTTTGCTACCATTTCAGGACTTATAAAGGATGCATTATGAGTAGTTAGTGTTTTTCCATGCTCTAAACTGGAACGAAAGTGGGATTTCAACTTCTTCACTTAGGTGAGTATTGTAAGGTAAGTGCTGCTGGTTCAAACACATGCTGTTTATCTTGAGATGTCTTGATTCTGGAGTTTTTGTACTTGGCAATGACTGTAAAACATGAAACTTAGGATGCTGCTAGCTAGTTTGCACTGCTGTAGGCCTTCTGTTGGTGACTTGTTGCTTATCAACACTACTAAAAGGTTGAAGCAATTGTTCGTTTTTTAGGGATGCAACTGAACAAGCTTTTAGTAAACATTGACATTATCAATTTATAGGGTTAGGGCGTAGCTTCCTCTAAAGACCTGTGCAATGCTGTACTTTCCCCACAGAAGCCACTCACTTTTGTTTATTAGAGGTGTCTACACACTGATAAATAACCATTAGCTCTAATAATGCTGCAATGAATGATATAAGAAATGCACTCTATCAAATGGAAATCTAATGTCTTATCATTGGTTAAAATGCCTAGTGGTCTGCAGTGCGGCTGACATAACTTCTGTGGATAATGTGTGTAATGTGATTGATCTGGACATGAGCAGGTTGTTTCTTATGTATCATAGCTCAGGGCATTGTTGCTTTACTTCGTTTTACGTGCTTGTACTATGATTTATTAGTGTGCTTGGATTTGCTGTCATATTGGCAATTCTCTATGACCAATGGGGTTGGTGCTTTCTCCTGACCCTCACCTCCTGACCACACATGCAGTTCACTATCCAATGTTTCTTAGTAGCTTAATATTTGACGTCAGAGGCAGTGATAACTGAATAAGTCTATTGCTCGTAGAACATTTCGAATACTCTTTTCTCTCAGAAAGTTTCTCAGCACCCTATTTCTGCTATGTTCAAAGTGGTTTATGTACTGATAAGATCAGAGGACTTAGATCAGTTGGCTGATTGAACTGAAGTTGAAACATTCCAAATGACACAGGGTGGTATTTTGATACGAAAGCCTTACAAACTTGCATAAAAAAGGTTTGCATTGCAATGATATTGATTGCATCTTGACCCAACCGACTATAATTTATTGTGTGTGTTTGTGTATGCATGCAATGTCCTTTTGAAAGGACCGGCCTTTTGAAATCTTTTGTGTACCCTGACAATTGCGACTTGCTTTGTGGGGGAGAGGATCCCATTCTGCTGCTGTGGGATGAATAAGCACAGATGTCAACCTTTTTACTGTGACGCTCACCTTGTCCACTCATTAGTAATGAAAACAGTTGCCTTTTGTTTTACGTTGAATATTACTCCAGGGCAACAAAAGGCACAATTCACATTCATCCTGCGAAGCAGATCTAGGCAGATAAAGGCAGGCCAGCGCTGTCTGCTCTGACCTTGGTGGCCTGACTCTCTCTGGGTTTAGCTGGCCGCCTGCCACTCAGGTTCCAACAATGAAAAGAGCCACTGCCTTGGTTTATCTGTGTCTCCTTGCTAACTTCCAGGTGGAGGCACATTAGTATATCGTTGTCACTTTTGGGCTTTCTCCAACTTTTCTTCTACTTTCACTTTCACGGGATAAGAGCCTTTCGTCTTCCTGTCAAGTGCCTGGTTGGTGAGAAACTTGTGAATTGAAGAGGCAGACGTATTATGCGGCTTCTGACCTGCCCCAGCCCCTCTTCACTGTCCCTGCCTCTTTCTTCCTGGCGGGATGGAGTGACAGCTTGTCACTGTGGGAGCGCCACAATACGGCTCAGACTCCCTGACTATTGTGGAGCTCAGAAAAAGCATCAAGGTCTTCCTCTCTCTTCCGTTCACTCTTTTCAAAGCAGGGAATCAATCAGCTGTACACACACACGCATGCATACACACGACTCACTTCTTTTCCCTTCCATCTGTCTATTGAGCAGCCAGTGATCATTTAGACTTGACATGTATTGTGAAAAACTGAGCAGCTCTGCCTCTTTCTTCTTCTTTTTCTTTCACCCCCTTTCTCTTTCAACTGTCTGTCATTAATGTCCAGGTCTTACAATATACGAACAGAGGAGAAGAAGAAAGCAAAGAGTGAGGGATGAATTGATGGATGGGAGGATAAGCACTCAGTGTCCTTTCTTTAAAGATTTGTTATTGTACAGTACTGTCTCCCAGTCATTTTTGGTTGGTGTTTCAGTCTGAAAGCCCATCCACGTGCTCTTTTGTATGGGAAAGCAATAAGGCCCCATTGAATGAAGCTGAATGGACCTGCCATCCTTAGGGGCTGAGGCCTGAGGACTCCTATTCTTTAGCCCCCAATCTAATTGGAGCTGAAATGAAATGGAGGTTTCTTATGAAAATAGGCTTTGTTTGGCCGCAAGGCTGGTAATTCATAAACAATAAGCAGGGCCCCATTGTGTAGATAATAATATATTCATGCTGCTGGAGATGGGGAGAAGGCAAAGCGAAAGGCTGAGGATATATAAGGAGGATAGGCAGAGACAGGGATGGAGAGTGGAGGGATAAGGGGAAGGGGAGGAGGAACAGTAGTGGCTAATAGCAAATAGGGGGTCAGAGAAAATTGGTAATGGTTGGGTAGAGGCAGAGGACTTATTAGAGGAAGTGGAGGGACTCAAAGTGGCTGGGAGTGAAAACTGAGTGGGAGTTGGGGCTGAAAATGACGAGGATAGGCGAGATATACAAGATAAGAATCAGGCGGGAGATTGGGAAATGGCTGTGAGTACTTTTGAAGCCTACAGGTGACTGGTTTGGCAGCGGTGGGGGGAGATGGCAAGTGAGTGAGAGCATAACAAAAATGGAATAGGTTGCACAGTGCAAATCTGTGTGAGGTTGAGAGCGGTGGAGATGATGGAGTGGATTGGTCAAGTGCAGGGATGGAGCAGAGCAAAGCAGTCAGTGTCTAACAGGCGAGGGGGGAAGATGAGAGAGCACAGCAGTGTGTGTGCAGTGGTGAAAAACTGACAGGAGGGCTTTCAATGCTTGAAAACACGATGGGTGGATGAGCGGAAACAGGTGAGCTTTCATGCCACTTTGATGCATCGGTTTTCTGGATTATCTCTCACTGTTATCGTCTGTAATCGTACAGGTCAACTCTGTGGGATCATCAGCTGAGTCTTGGAGAAGTGAGTTTCTCTGTCGGACATTCTCAAACGGGAAACAAAAGTGCTGTGTGGAGTGACGGACTGACTGAGCGGGACCCTGCTTCCTGTCAGCTCTGAGCTGCTACCCTTCTTCTTAAATGCTTTTCACAATTTTCTTGGGAAGTGAATACTAACTGTAGGACTGGAGACACACGTCCCTCTGGATTGTTTGGGAAACTCTTCCTCTGTGAAACCTTGACTTCTTCAGCCTTTTTGTCTTATTTTTCACCTCAAACAATATATCCTGGACAGAGTTTTGTGACAGTGGAGGGGGAGGATGTTGTGGACATGATTGCAAAACTGATAATGTAAACACGTCTGAGTTGATGTTACTGCCTTAAGAGATAGATGTCATAACTAATGGTGAGTAAACCTGAAATGGCACTTTGTTTCGGTGGACTTTAACTGAGTTTGTGTGAGTCTGTGTGAGTGTGTCAGGAGAGTTTGCATGCTGCTGCACAAACAGGAACAGCATTTGTGCAATGTCAAGGTTACAAAGTAATCCACTTAGTTTATCACTACCAATTCTTATATCAAAGTTATTCTGTAAACACTTTGTGAAGCTTCTCAGCAGTGAAGGAGTCTCTAAAGTATGCAAAGTCATGAACGTGGTAGGCTTTATATAAAAAAAAGTGACAATTCTTTAACACTGCAGTTGTGTTATTACATTCTTCAATACAACTCTAACATATTATGTGTGCGCCCGTACGCTTGTAGCCTTAAACTGCTTGACTGAAGATGTCAAATTAAAATTAAGTTCATTGGAGAATTACTTGTTTATAACTTTTATATATAATTAGTCTAGCGCAATTAGTCGTCTGGTGCTACAGGAGAGTTAACGTATCACTTTGCATCATCTTAAGAATGCATTGCCAATCAGTTATTTCAAAGGGTAGTGATTTAAATCAGAGTATTTAAATGTTCTTCTTGGAAAAAATGTGCCTATTTCATATACTGATGTAAGACAAATCAGGAA